TTCAGTCTCTCAAAATAAGGATCACTCCCAGGTTCAATTTGTAGCATTATATACTCAGATTTTGGCACTTGTGCTTTCCTGTTTCCTTGTCCGGGCATTGCTTGTCGGCTTTGGAAAGCGGTCAATTTGCTCCAAAAAGCTTCTATATTTCTGCTAGGCCCAGGCCCCAGTAATTCCCCTATTTGCCACCTAAAAGCAAGCAAGTTCTAGTCTCCGATGTCTTGGATTGTCTTTTTCAGCATTTCTTTTTTTGTTGTTCTTTTTGTTTTGCTAAGTAAAATAGAGTATCTAAAATTATTTATTTGCACTGCATGGCATGTAACACTCATGTTGCAGATTCTGTTTATAAAGTATGGACTGTGGACTGTGGAGTGTCATTAATAGTATTTAGTAATTTAATCTAAGCAATTATTACTTACGGTTATGTTTGGCTGAATAGCAACAAGGACGGCAAGAAATATTACCACAAATATTTAAAATAAATGAATGGAATTGCAATATAAAATATAAAATATAAAATACCTACCCGATTGCCATCCTGAACTTCAAATTTTATGTTCCTCCGAATTAGATAGTCGAGGAAGGAATGAGATGGGTATGTGAGTAATTTTCCATTAAATTTTGATTTAATTACTACCTTATACTTTTTTAATAATATCTCCATCTTGTGGTTTACCGATATTATATTGAGAGAATCCATTGCGTCATTTATAGATAAATTAAATAATGAATTTTTATTTTAACACTTGTTCTTTCCTATTCCCATTGATTTGTTTATAAATAAATAAAATGGTCTCATCCAAAACTCACGTGACATGAGAAAATGCATTGTAAAACTAAGAAAATTCACTTGTTCAATAACTTTTTATTTTTTTGTATTATATTCCGTTACCATCCCTTTCTTTTCATATAACGTGAAGTATAAGTCTTGAGTGGTCAAATCATGGACGACTAATCAATTAACGGGTCTATCCAATACCGAATGAGTAAATGTCTTGACTATGGATAAAATCATAAAACCCAAAGGGTATTCGACACTTTGATTTTGTCGTGTGCTTCCCTGACTTGTGGTGTTTTTCCAAAATTGTGCTTCCCATGCTTCTTAATTATATATTATATAAATAAACTCATACGAACGATAGCACTTACGTGGCAGGCCTGCGCAATCTCCTCCCCCTCCCTGTCTCTCTAACTTTCACATATGCACTTTATCTTGAGCTCGTTTGTTACACAGTTTTTTTTAAGATTTTCGAAAAATTGAATTTTTCTAAATTTTAAATTTTCAGATATTATCATAAATTGAATGTAATAATTATATTTTTAAAAATTGAGATTTTCGGATAAAAAAAAAAATTTCCTCTACCAAACGCCCCTGTGTATCTTGGGTTGATTTCGGAATTATATATATGAGGAGGGATATTTTCACTGACAAAAATTTTCACTACTAACTTACTACCTATTTAATCACCGTTAGATTAACATTTTCTCTTTATTTAAACACTTTTTAATATTCTCTCTCTTTGATCCAATGGTGATGTGATATATATATATATATATATATATATATATATATATATATATATATATATCAATATTTTAAAACCCCATCTCGCCTCCCGAATTGACTCGGGTCAACCTTGACCCTTCCCCTCGAAAGTTGGGGTCACAAGTTGGACCTAATATGCATATCGACCACTCCAATCTCCAAAACCCGGTCGAGTTTCAGTGACTCCCGGGCCAGAGGGGTTAAAGAGGATAAGGATGTAAATGGGTTATGTCAGCCTATAAGGGCCTATGGCTTAGTCTTTATTAGGCCAGACTTGATCTATTATAAATAGTAAAATAGAACAGGCCTAGGTTTTTTTAAAAATCTATTTAGAAAACAGGGGCATAGACTTTTTTTTTTATACATGTCGAGCCTATAAGCCTACAAGCCGGCCTATATCATATTATTTATTTAAAATATAATAAATAATGTTTAATAATTTTGAATAATAAAATAATATTATTTTAGTTATTCTTTTAATTGTTGAATGTTTAATAGGCTTAAACAGGCTAACAGGCCTAGGCCAATGCGTTTATTTTTTAAATATAGGTCCGGCCAGACTTGTAATTTGGGGCCTACATAGGCTAATAGGTCAGGGCGTCAGGTCATACCCAATGTTTTTTGCACAGACCTTACCTATTTAAGCAAAAACCTAGTCTAGCTTAGCCTATTTACACCCTTAGTCACGCATGTTTTTTTTTCTTTAAAAAAAATTCCATGAAACAATATAGTTTTATTAAAAAATAAAATAAAAATGCTTGCAAACTTAAATCTAATCATTCTCTTCTCTCCTAGCGATCTATGCGTCTTCAATCTTCACCTCCCTGCCATGAATCTTCTAGAAAAGGTAAGAATTTTACCCATTCAAATGAAATCCTTAATGTCGTCGATGGAAAACAAAAACTCATTCTTACTTTCTTAAAATTTTCCTTTCCTTTGTTAATTCAAAAGAGGCAGAACCGGGTCAGCGTAATGACTCCATTAGAATATGAGTTTTGTACTTTGGTATCTTGATACTTTAATTAGGTTGTGTAATATTAACTTATGGTTGTTTTTATGTTAAGTATATTTTGAATATTTGATAATTGGTGCTTTGTTTTTTAATATTTTCATATAAGATATATGTATTTATATTTTTTTAATGGGTTTGTTTTTTCTAAAGTTACTTTAGATAACTTTATCTAATGTTCATCGAAACATCGTCGTTTTAGGGCGAAAATCATGGTGTTTTTGTAATTTTAATTTATTTCAGGGTTATAATAGTCTTTATCATTCTAATTTTTTAATTTTTCAACCCAAAAATGACGTCGTTTCGATGAACATTAGACAAAATTGTCTAAAGTAACATTAGATACTTTTTTCTCCTTTTTAATATATAAAACCGGGCCAGCGTAGTGATCCCGTGACCCCCCGGTTGAATCTGTGACTTCATGACCCCTAATCTCGCTGGGTCGATGACCGGGCTGAGTTTTTAAATACTGATATATATATATATATATATATATATATATATATATATATATATAAGGTAGGATCCTTTGATACCAGTATCAAATTTAAAATTTGACACCTCATCTGAAAGCCGTTAAATCAGAAAAGAGCAACTACTATGATTTGTAAGCATGTGACACCATTGGTCTTTTTTTATCTAATGGCTCTCAAATGAGGTGTCAAATTTCAAATTTGACACTGATGTCAAAGGATCTTACCTCTCTCTATATATATATATATATATATATATATATATATATATATATATATGGCTTATTATTTCTCAAGTTGTTTGAGATAATGTTATCTCTGGCTACTAAATCATTACCGTACAAAGATGAAATAATGATGATAAAGGAAAAGAGAGAAAAATAAAATCATAATCGTTCAAAGGTGAATCAATTAATATAAGAAAATAAATAAACAAAACGATGTAGTTTTGGAATGGTCGGAGTCGGAGATAAATTTATCTCAAATTGCCGAAGAAATATTTTTCATATATATATATATAGGAAAGATCAGTTTACAAATTATACTATGTACTCTCGGAAGATAATAGTGTAACCTATTATATTTTCGGGAGTACATGGTATACTTTGCAAACAAAAAAATTATAAATATTACACCCCCCTCTCTCTATATATATATATAGAGGTAAATATTTCTGCAGCCCCTTTAGATAAGTTTATCTACAGCTACCGTTTATAACTATATTCTTCCGGGAGAACATAGTTATAACATTAAAGTTGCTTTTTTCTCTCTCTTCACGTCAGGAGACAGGTTCTGAAAAGTAGATGAGGAGAGAAAAAAAAAAGCAACTTTTAATGTTACAACTACGTTCTCCCGGAAGAACATAATTATAAACGGTAGTTGTAGATAAACTTATCTAAAGTGGCTGTAGAAATACATTTGCCATATATATATATATATATAGGGCTTATCGTTTCTCGAGCTGTCAGATATAACTTTATCTCCGGCTAGTAAATCATAACCGTACAAAGATGAATCAATGGTGATAAAAGAAGAGAGAGAAAAATGAAATCATAATCATTCAAAGATGAATCAATGGTGATAAAAGAAGAGAGAGAAAAATGAAATCATAATCATTCAAAGGTGAATCAGTTAATATAAGAAAATAAATAATAAAACGACGTAGTTTTGGGGTGGCCGGAGATAAACATATCTCAAGTTGTCGGAGAAATATTTTTTCCATATATATATATATATATATATATATATATATATATATAACTTTTTTTAGAAAAAATATCAAATAAATCGTATGTATCCTTTATGGAGAAATTCTTTTGTTCGGGAGTAAACTCATTCTTCTTCCTGAAATATTGGTGAATCTCACCAAAAAATTAATGGTGGAAGATGTTTTTAGAAGAATAAAATAAGAGGACAATATTTTTTTTCTTTTATGAATTGTTCGATATTTTAATTAAAAATATTTTTATATAACATTATTGTATTAAATATTAATTTAAATTATAGGGTTTTATAATTAATAATTAGTTTATAAACATATTTTAAGTATTTCCTTACTGCATAATCAATCGATCATCTTTGTTACAAGCTGCTCTATATTTACAAGCATTTTAAAATTTACGGGAGCAAAATGATAAAATTACAACACTAAGGGCACTAAAAAAACAATTAAGATATCTACTAAAAAAATTTAAAAACAATTAAGATAACAAAGAATAAGGAAATGTGATCCTTACAGTGGTGCACTGCTGGTGCCCGCCACGCATGGGCTTTTTTCTTTTCTTTGTTGGGGAAGGACTCAACCTTAAAGTAAGAACCCGAAGCCCTATAACCTGAGAACGAAATGAAAGCCCAAACAGTAAAATTTGAGATAAATGTAAAATGAGAGAGCCCAATCAATCATTGGTCAGTGATGTTGACTTGGGGTGGAGTTGGTTCATTTGGCATTCAATAGATCCGAGTAGCACTCCCGAACCCATGACCTCACCACCTGTCTGTCTATGTGCAATTTCCTTGTAGTTCAGACTTCAGCGACTGAAGCTGTTGCCTCAAACCACTGATCCATCACTATGATCTCTATCTCTTCCGCTGAATTGAATTACTTAGTCTTCCGTTACCTTCACGAATCAGGTTCGAGTTTTTTATTTTTTAATTAAATTCTTTTTTTTTTCTCCTTCATGCATTACATATTCATGAATATGAAGACCTATTATGGATAATTTAAGAACTCTGCCATTTTTTATTTTCATTTTCTTTCCTTGTCTGTACATCACTCTATAAACTGAAAAACTTTTGTTATCACTCTATAAACCGAAAACCAAGGTTTAGGAAGTTCACAGATTTAATGATTTTTGCGATATCAGGGTAATGGATAACCCAAAGGAAAATTTCTTGTGCTCCATTTGTTTATGCACGCAACAAGCCTATAGAGAAGTCATTTCGTGTGCTACTCCGTAATGGATGATGCTTACTTAGTTACATGTCATATCATTTTTCCTGTAATATACAAGAGGAAGATATATGAAAGTAATATGGGCTATAAAAAATAACTAGGTTACTTGGAGAAGCATATGCTTCCTGTAATATTTGTAAAGTGCAGAAAATCACCTGATTCGGTGCAAATTGGGCATTTGCCGCACTGTGCTTCTTTTTCTCTCTTTTTCCCCCAAATATTCAATTTTCTCTTATATTTTCTGATGGCTGCCTTGTTTCAGGTTTTACTCATTCAGCATTTGCACTTGGGTATGAAGCAGGAATTGATAAAAGCAGAATTGATGTTAATGTGGTTCCACCGGGTGCTCTTGTTACTTTCATACAGAAAGGAATTCAATATCTTGAGCTGGAAGCAAACTTGAGTGGTGTAAGAATTTTATTTTTTTTGTAGTATGTTATTCGATGTTCATACCTTGTTACTAACTCGCACATAATGTATACTTATGGACCTTAAGCTGATTGGTGTCTGTGTTAGGTTTCCAGAGCGATGCAGACATGGATGAGGATTTCTCTTTTCTCCAGCCTCTTGATCTTATCACAAAGGACCCGTATGAACTACACAAGATAGTAAAATCCAAAAAGGAAAATCTACGACAACACAAATTTGAATCAAATAAAATAGTGAATGACTTGAGTCAGGACAATGCAGGGGAACATGTTCAGGAAACGGAGAAAGAGAGGAAAGAAAAGGAAAATGAACATGGACCGGAAAAAATAAAGTCTGAGAAAGAAAGAGAGCTAGAAAAGGGTGAATTTAAAGAAATACAACTTCCAGATCAAAATCATACAGAGAATCAAGAAGATAAGATTATTGTTGAAAATCTAGAAAACAGAGCGCCTGGAGGTAAATATTAATGTTTTATTTCCCCCTTTTCCGATAGCTATCGATCTTTATTGCTAGCATATCAGACAAGGGAAAAAAGTAATACATTTACTGTATAGGGCCTGAGCCAATGGAGATCTCTGAAAGCTCTATGTCGCTGCCCAATGATACTCCATCTGGTGATGTAAAAGTTTTGGAAGGCCATACCTCAGAGGTTTGGACTTATGACTTATCTATTTTCTTATTTTTCCCGATACTTAGTTTTTTTTTGCTTATTGAGAAGTTATTTCATTTCTATCAGGTTTTTGCTTGTGCATGGAATCCGTCAGGTCCACTTCTTGCATCTGGGTGAGTCCAAATAATTTAATAAATAAAATTATTATTCTCAAAAGTGTCAAAAAAAGATTTATTTTTCTTCCTGTTCATATGATTGTTGATACGTGAAAAGCCACTGAGGATAAGAGCACCCTATCACTCTAGTAATATAAGAATTGAGTCCCAAATTTCGTTTCCCTAAGGACTATTTAGCAAGTTCCAAATCTTCAAGACCCTTATGTTATTCAGACATTCGGAATTGAGATATTTATGACAGTAATTTATAAGTAATTTATAAGATTAAGCAATGGTGAAATGAATTAAACTAAGAATTAAAGCAACTTGAAGGGAATTCTCTAGTGAAAGTATCTCGGGCATAGGCTTCACTTGCATTCAATTGCTTTGTTCCTATTGCTTTACTGTTTAAGGATTAAATTTATAAGTACCTCTGTGCCTCTTTCTAAATCTATTAGCAAGTAATGGTCATGAATTGCCAATAGTCTATTCTTCATTCAAATCCCCTATTTGGTCATTTAAGAAATTATTTAACGAAAGCATAAAGTTATTAGAGGGCTGATTTACCTAATTGGTTAGTTCAATTGATAGAAGAGAGAAAAAGTTTGTTCATGCATCAATACTAATCCAAAATTGTTCCATAGATTCATTTATTGATTGTAGATGGTCACTAGTCAATCAATTAACTAATTACAGTTAAGGGTGATCAAGTGTTAACATGCATTAATCACAGCAAAACAACCCCATATGAAGAAAACCCTAAACTATATTAACAATTCAAACAATCAAAATACAGGATCCACTATAGCCCTCGCTATTGTGTTTAGCTATTCATAAAAAAATAAAATCAAAATCTGAAGTGAACATCTGTAGTTTCTTACATAAATAATTAAGAACAGATAGAGAGAGAGAATTGAAACCCCCTTTTCATGAAATTCCCTTAATCTTCAATAACTTTTTCTCCTCCTCCTGCCGTAAATTTCTATAAGCTTCCTCTCTTGGCTTTCTCCGTTTGATTGCTCTCTTAGATAGGATTCGTCATTTTCTACTCTCTTTGGTCTTCTAGCCTTTTGAGGCCTCTAACTCCTTTTAGTCTGTTTTATAAGAATAAGGTTTGCTTGATTCACTTTATAAACTTAGAAATTTGAATAAGACTTTGAGCTTGAGTAAAATCTCTTTATTTCTCTTTCTTCAAAATATCTCCAATATTTATTCAAAATCTTCTAGGATATACCTGAAACTCAAATCAAACATAAAAAAGATAGGGAAGACTAATTTATTTAAAATCTATAGAATCAACTAATTAAATTAAAAATTCTAATAAATAGAACCCAAAGATGTGTGCAATTTTGCAACATATCAAATGCCCTCTTTTGTTCTTCTGATTCATGTATTGTTGATTGTTTCAAAATTTTAAACCATGTGTATAACTAATTTTGTTCCAAACAGTAACCTTCAAATAGGGATACATTGTGTAATATTGTCCAGCCATCCAGGTATTTGAAAATTGGATTTCAGACTTTTTGCAAGTCTAAGGAAGCAATTTTATTATGGACAATTTGACACAATAGACTGGCTTTGACAAGCGTATTCTTGGATTTTTGTTTTGACTGCAGGTGTGTACTTCAAATTGATTGAAGTTCACCTTTCCGTAAAATGTTATTTCTTTGGTCTGGTGTTGAATTTAAATCATTTTTTTATTTTTTTCTTACTAGCATAAAAACAATATATCTTAAATCTGCTTAGAAGATATAGAGTATGAAGGTTCGTATTTGGCCTATGGGTATGATAGGGTTCTGATCTAGGAAGAACTGACTGCTAGAATAAATAAAAACAAGAAAAAGGAAGGTTTTCTTTATAGAAGTAAACAAAGGATACAAGGGCACTCCTCTTGCCAAGAAACTGGCCCTTAAATCTGAGAAAGATTCTCAGTCAAACACTTGCAAAACAATTTTTCTGCCTATCATCTAAGAGGTTCCTCCTTCTATCTAAGATTTATTTCATAACAGCTCCCATAACTTGCATAACCTCTCTTTTATTTCGTAATTGCTGCCATAACTCTAATAACCTCTATTTTATTGCTGTTGAGATATATTCCTACGGGAGTAGACCTTCCATATGACTGGTTCTGTAACAGGGCACAATACTGGATGTTTTCTATAATAACTAATAATGCAATGTATATTTTCTGTATTAAAACATCTAAATAGTGAAGTGGCACAGTTTCTGATGCTACTTACGCAAGATCAACAAGTAGTAAACAGTATTGACTGTTATCCTTTTTTTCTCTGGCCCAATTTCTAGTCAAAAAATTTGACAATGTGTTTTTATTATTAATTATTCTAGATCTGGAGATTCAACAGCTCGAATTTGGAAAATTGCTGAAGGACCTTGTAACTCTAGTGTGCAAAATGAACCGGTAAATGTTGTGGTGCTGAACCACTTTAAAGGAAGAACGAACGAAAAAAGTAAGGATGTGACAACACTTGACTGGAATGTAAGTCTTTGTAGCATTATTGTGGTTGCATACTCACCATGCTTCTTTGTAGAATTAACTTTACTCTTTAGTGAGATATCTTGATATCTCCTGGGTCCTGCATCCATTAGCTGAAAACTATGAAATCCATCTTCCTCTTCTTGTTTTCAGTCTTATTCTCCAGCTGATATGTTTCGCTATGCTTTTATTATGCAGGGGGATGGAACATTATTGGCAACTGGTTCCTATGATGGGCAAGCAAGAATATGGAGTAGAGATGGTGAGCTCTTTAATATCTTATGTTACAGAATACAAATATGCATTTCTTGTCATGAGCTGTGCATAGCTTTTAACTATGGGCCTTGTATTTCTATGCTGTTAATTGAAGTCTTGCTTGTGAGGTTCTTTAGGAGAGTTGAATAGTACACTAAACAAGCACAAAGGTCCAATCTTTTCTCTAAAGTGGAATAAGAAGGGGGATTATCTTCTTAGTGGAAGTGTAGATAAAACTGCTATTGTATGGAACATAAAGACCGGAGAATGGAAACAACAATTTGAATTTCACTCTGGTAAGTTTGTTTGTATATGCCTTCTAGTGAGGAAACTTTGTTTTTCTGTATGACTGTCCTTATAATCTTAATTATTCCCAAATTGTTTCAGCCCCAACTCTTGATGTTGATTGGCGAAATAATGTTTCATTTGCGACATGCTCCACCGATAAAATGATATACGTATGCAAAATTGGAGAAAATAGACCAATCAAAACTTTCTCAGGGCATCAGGTATCTCATCCTAGTTAACCAGTCTGCTGATAGATTTTTTAATTAATATACCAACTTTTAATTGGAGAAGACATATAGACTTTCTGTCACAAAATAGAATAATATGCTTATTTATCATCAGCTATTTGGAAAGTTCAGTCACTGTTTTAATCTTACTTAAACGTTCTGATATGGTGTTGTTTCAGGATGAAGTTAATGCCATTAAATGGGACCCAACAGGTTCTTTGCTGGCTTCCTGCTCTGACGATCACACCGCAAAAGTAATCAACAGGAAATTATCAATTGGTCCACTTTTGTAGTCATATAAAACACAGACATATGAGTAGTCCACATGCATTTTTTTAAAATAAAAAAAATTATAATAGGGGGATAATCGATATATAGGATAGATAAGGGCTGTGCTGAAAAATTTTGGGGGCATAATTACTTGGGCAATATGACATTTTTGGTGCTTTCCAGGACAAAAAAAACTGCCTCTGGAAGTATAAACCTGACTGTCATTGTGCTTTAAAGTATTTGAGCGTTCAATTTTTTTTTTTGGAAACAGAGCGTTCAATTTAATTTTCATGAAACAATGATGCAGATATGGAGTCTGAAGCAGGACAAGTATTTACATGATTTAAAGGAACATGTCAAGGTTCGGAGATATGTTGTCATGTGTACACTTTTATTATTATTTCCCTTTATTCTCTTTCTAACAAAGCAATGATCCTTCAGGAGATATATACAATCCGATGGAGCCCTACAGGCCCCGGTACCAACAGCCCCAATCAGCAGTTAGTGCTAGCAAGGTAAATATGATTCCACTGACGTATAAAAATTGGCAATAGTAAATGATATGGAAGCGGCTCCTTGTGTAAACCTATTGTTATAAATTAAAGGTTTAGGCACAGGTTGATAAATTAGAAATAGAAGCTATTAAATTAAAAGTATAAGCATTTAATACTTTCTTTTATAAGTAATTAAGATACGTAATAAATGTTATTTTTATTCCTTAACTGTTGCCTTAAGGGCACATCTTAACAAAACTCTTAAAATAGTCAGTGTTCGAGAAATTTGAAATTAACCGGAAAATAACTCATGTTTTGTGTTCCCTTATGCTTTGGATTATTGTTCTTTTAAGCAGCGCCTCCTTCGACTCCACAATAAAGCTCTGGGATGTGGAACTGGGGAAAGTACTCTACAGCTTGGATGGCCACAGGTACAGAAACTAAATCATCCTGCATTACAATCAAATGAACAGCAGACATGCATATGCATATGTAACCATGGATGGACGCATTTGTCCATGATAAAATATGTATGCTATTAATAGGAAATGGCTCAAAATTGGAGATGATTTATATGCATTTGCTAATTAATAGGAAACATTGGTCTAATGTGTAGAATTCAACGATTTTCTGTTGCTTAGAATTTCGAAATCATCAATGTTCCAGCATATTATATTCTTGGCATTTTAATACATTGCTTTCTGTTGCAACACTCAGGGATCCTGTATATTCCATTGCATTCAGCCCTAATGGCGAGTATCTGGCCAGTGGCTCCATGGATAAATACATGCATATATGGTCCGTGAAAGAGGGCAAAATTGTGAAAACATATGCTGGAAATGGTGGGATATTTGAAGTTAGTTGGAGCAAAGACGGTGATAAAGTTGCTGCTTGTTTTTCAAATAACATAGTTTGTGTTTTGGATTTCCGAATGTAGAGTCTAGGTTTACCTCTAATTTTTGAGTACATTTATTTCCTCTGTACTATCAGTTCCAGCTTTTGTACAGGGCCATTCGCCACATTTTCATATTTCTCGCTTATACAGTTTAATTGGCGTTAAGTTCGTCGAATATGTAGAATTAGAATTAGTCGCTTGTGTTAAATTGCTAATACCAAAAAATGAGAGGGAAAGAAAAGAAAGGATGAAAATAATTATGCAGTTTGTGTAAACTGTTTTCTTCCTCGGTCTGGGGCACATTTTGGCACTGTAGTTTAGATGACATTAACTATAAAAAGGTAGATAGAAATGGTAAAGTGAATTGATTTACTTAAATGTGACATCATAACAAAAATAAGAACAATTGTGTCGAATTTTTATGGTATGAAAATAAAATCTTGAACAATCACGTCATTATATTAAATTTTGAAAATAAGAACAATCACGTAGTCACATCAAATAAAATTTATCATGCAAAGTATACTGTGGTAATTCAATAAAAATTAAAGGCACAATATATCAATATAATGAATATATAAAAATGTAAATAAATAATTAAATATATAAACGTATAACATTTATCACATATATAACAATATTAATGTATGTGTTACTAAGCATAATTGCAAATTATAAATTTACATAAAAACAAATCAGAGCTCACACACACACATATATATATATATAAGAAAAATATTTTTCCAGTCACTTAAGATAAACTTATTTCAAGGTATTCCTTTTAAGTTTTAATTATATATTACGGGTAGTACATAGTTATAACGTTAAAGTTTTTTTTTTCCTCAGTCACTCTTCAGAACTTGTCTGCTGACGTGGAGAAAGAGAAAAAAAATAACTTTAACATTATAACTATGTACTACACGTAGTACATTATAACTATGTTAATCCCTATATATACATATATATATGTATATATATGGTAAAATTATTTTTGCAGCCACTTTACGTACAGCAACGACAGGTGTATGGTTATGATTCCCTACATTTAATGCTTTCATCATTTGTATGGTTATGATTCTTTGCATTTAATGCTTTTAAGTATATATATGGCAAGTACTCGATTGCTGCACGTATAGCAGCTGCAGAAATGTAAATTCCTATATATATATATATATGGGCCAAGGATTTCTTTGGTCAATTGAGATAAGTTATCTTTGGTGAGCTCAAAACGACGTCGTTTTGGACGAAAATCAATGTATTTTTGTAATTTTAATATATTACAGAGTTATATTACTCTTTATCATCATATTTTTTCAATTTTATAATCTTAAAACCAATGTTATTAAACTCGACCCAATTATTGAACTGGTCGAGGTGCTGGGTCACTGGTTCAACCAGAGGGTCACTGGTTTAACTGCATGACCCGACAAATATATATAAAATATAATTTTTGGGAAAAAGTGTTTGTCATTTTAAATGACAGAAAGTTATGTCATTTTAAGAAAGATACAGACACAGAAAATTTGAATTTTAAATTAAAAAAAACCTCCCACTTTCTCTCTCCCATGATTTTCGTTTTTCTGTGTCTATTTCTCTTCTAAAATGACATAACTTATGTCATTTATTTTTTTTGGTACAATAACTTATGTCATTTAAAATGATAAACACCAAACCCATAATTTTTATATTAAAAAAAGGGTTATTTTATCTCATTTTACATGAGATAAACAACTTTCTTAGACACACAAAAAGAGGTTGGGTCCCACCTCTCTCCTCTTACCTGTAGGTCCCACTTATACTTTTATTTCTACAACATGAGGTAATTTTTATCCTATAACATGAGAAAAATATATCCCTAAAAAAATATACACATACTCAAATATATATAAATAATTAAAAAATAATACCAATGCAAGGGGATGAAAGACCTATGCACTTATCCTGAGTTTTGTCTATATTATACTAAAAATTATGAGACCATGCTTGTATTCACTACAACTATAGATCCAATAAAATTCCGTGTTTCTGACATAAACTACGACTCTAAAGAAATTTCCTTACGTGACCCTGAAAATTGCCTTCCGAACAAGTTTCTAAATTCAACTATTTATCAATTGAAAAAAATATGAATACATTCTCTCTCTCTCAGCGTTGCACATCAATGGCTAAAACAGATGAACAAAACACAACCAGAACATCGATTATGGAGCAGAAGCATATGCACCAACTTCACCGAATTGCAGGGACACCGACCCACAAGCTCTTCCTGAAGAAATGGCTGAAAGAAGAAGAACTCATCCATGGCAGCATAGTTCTGAAGGAGACCCAAATAGAGTCTGTTCGCAAAGAGATAACAATGCTCTACATCTTCTTTTTCCTGTTCCACTCAACCACCCTCATGCTTCTCTTCAACTCTTCTTCAACAACAACACCCCAATGTCATAGGTCGTGGATCCAATCACTGTGCTCTCCCTTGGCATCATATGGGCCATTAGGTACAAGAGCGATGTGGAGGTCCATATGAAAAAGATGTTGCAGAGGGAGAAAGAGGATAAGGGGATGTTGGGGAAGTGTGTGGAAAATGAAGTATAGGAGAATGTGTTCCACATCGTTTTAAACATGAGAGAAATTACCCTTTTATAAATAATATGAATGCATTCTTTACACGTGAAGCTTGCTTTGCCTATTCGCTTGCTCTTACTAGAAAGTAGATATCCGGGTTATTGCTATCTAACCGGCGAGTTGTAGCGGTTTCTTCCGAGTTGTACCGATTCAGTAACATGACTGATCTATTGTGTGGCTCGGACTATACACAAGAAATTGGAACGTAGTATCCCATCAAAACCAATTAGGGGAAGAAGAGGAAAAGTTTAAAAAGATAACAAAATAACACTTCCATGTTTATATTTTAGAAGAAATAAAGAATTTATCCTTAGTATTAACATTCACTTTTATCTTTTCTTATTATCAAGTTATCTCACTCACAGTATCTTTTTTCTTTCCCTCTCCCCCGGTAGAATTCTCTCTAAATTTTTCAAGACCTTGCTAACAATTTTGAAGCAATGTCTAATTGTTCTTTTAGTCTCTATTTATAGGAAAAATATTATCATGTTAATGGTAAATTTAATATTGTAATAGTAAAATATTATTTACCTAATAATCATTAAAGAAAACATTCTCATGTGACATATCTTGGAACTGTTTGTTAATAATTTATGATTGGATTATGATTTTTGGAGTGTTGTTTATAATAGTTTATTTGAATTATATATTTTTGAAATGTTATTTGTTCTAATTTATGATTCAATTATATATTATAAAGTGCTATTTTTAATCATTTATGATTTAATTATACATTTAGGAGTTTTATTTTTAATAATTTATTATTGAATTATATATTTTAAAATATTGCTTATGATCAAAATATTTTTGTTATTATTATTATTTTGATGAGAGAGTCACACCCTCTCAGACATTTTGACCCTACCTGCATAAGTTAGAGTGTAATAGAGCGAGCTAATTCATTTTGACAGCTCTAAACATGGACAAAAAACTCTAAAAATTTATTCATTTTGAGTTGACCTGGATCAATTTTACGTAGTCAAAAATAAGTAGAATGAGATGAAATTATAATTAGAGGTTTTATTTTTTATTTTTTAAATACTTTTACATGAAGTAATATTTCTTTTAAGTTTCATTTATATAAGTTTTTTTAGATAAGTTATTCTACCTATATTTTTTTCTTATCTACTTTACCTACTCATTTTTAATATCATTGGTTCAAAAGAAAGGATGAGATTCTGAAATAATAATATTAAAAATGAGTAGACAATGGATATATAAAAAAAAAGTTGACATAATATTCTATTCTAGATTTTTTTTTATTAATGAGCTAATGTGAAGGCTTTTTGACTGAAGTGGAAATCCCAAAAAAAAGAAAAAGAAAAAATTGCAAGTGTAGTTTGAAAAAGTTAGACTAATAGCATGTTTTACACTTGGAGCTCATAGAAAACATTCAGTCTCTTGTAATGAGTTTTTAAAAAAAATACTGCTTTCATGCGTCAGCATGTGACAACATCTGGATGGATTATTATGACAATTGACGCAGTTATTAAATTAGAATATTTTTTGGCTGCATTGATTTTTGAAACTTTGTGCAAAATATTTGTAGACTACGGAAATAGATCTTTTCATGTGTAATTTAATATGATTATGTCATGTGGAAGGATCTTAATTATTAATAATTAAATCAATGGTGATGATTGTGTAATTTCCTATCCTTATATTTTTTCTTTTTCATCCCTTATCACCATTAACTCACCCATGTATGGTTATGATTGCTCCACATGACATGATCATGTTAATTAGCACATGAGAGGATCAACTCCCATCATAAATGGATTTGAAAGAAAATGCATATAACATTAAGCACTATATCACGGTATTATGATTGTCATATTGTTTCTAGAGAAAAAAGGTGTGTAGTTTTAAATAACACACTCTATATTTTTTCATTCTCACGAAGAAGTGAGACTCACACCTTTAAAAAAAAATTCACTCACTCTCTCTTCCATGATTTATATCTTTCTCTTACTTAAAATAACACAATTTGATCCCCTTCAAAATAATACACACTATTTCCTTATTTTTGTTACTATATGTATGTAAATTCAGTCCAAACAATTTAACCAGTCATACATTGATTCATTGACGACGAGTTTAATATTTGGGTGATGTGTGAAGGGAGATTTAAGGAGAAAATATTTTCTGGAAAAGTCAATTGCTATGCCTAAACTAACACACTTAACATTGTTATTGTTTATGCGCATGAACCATTGGAAAATAAAAGCACATTAATAATGTATAGTCCTTAATTAGTAATATATTAATAGATTTAATGTCTCTCATATTTTAAAATATAATTTTTTTGATAAGTTTAAATATAATTTTATTTTCTACACAGATATTAAAACGTGTGAAACTCATGTGTATACATTTTTTAATTCTCTTTATATAACTTCACGTGAATCTCACATGTTTATGTGTACGTAAAAAATAATTTTATCTCTCAGTGTTGTGCAACAAGCATCTGGTCCTCTCCAACATTTGAATGGAGGATGGCCTTTCTTCCCGAGTGATGACAAGGAGGAAATTTCCCCTTTTTGTTATTGCTACCACCTGAAGCTGAAAAGGATGAGCTTCCCTTTGGATTCTCCTTGTTTCTGGATGCTTCAAGATGTTCCTTCAATTTCACCTTCTTGTCTCATTGCTCTTCTTTTCTCTTATGCTTGTAAGGCATGCAACGATTTTGTTAATGAAATTTGTGACATATCCTTCATGTTCTCCAAGGATGCAATTATGGCTTCAAATTGTTCAGGAACAGTTACAATAATTTTTTCAACAATTCATGATTCTGGAAAGGTGGAGCCAAGTATTCTAATTCTGCAAGCAATATTGAGCAACAATATTCATAGTATTCTTCAATAGATTCAGAATTCTTCATCCTCTACATCTCAAAGTTCCTCACCAGATTCAGCACTTGAATCCCCCAAATTCGTTCACCACCTTTGTACTCTGTTTTAAGACAATTCCAGATCTCCGTTGCTGACCTCAAATTCATAATGCAATTTTGAGCCACGGTGGGATTTTCTGGAAGTGGTAGAACCTCGAGTCCTCCTCCACTGCTTCCCATAGATCCAACGCCTCTAAATATGTCTCCATACGTACTTTCCAATTAGGATAATATTCCCCGTTAAACACCGGCGAAGCAGTTGACGTTAGGTGTGATTCAGTTTCCATGGTGCATCAAGATTCACACAGGTCCCTCAAGAAGACAGCTCTTGATACCAATTGTTTTTTTTTTAGTAGGAAAAAAGTGAGGAACAAAATTGGATCAGATTTTTCACTCACTTATTTTCTGCAACATTACATCATTTAAAAACAGGAAATAAACTGCCTACTTGAAGTAACTACCCACTACAGAACATGAAAAGAAACTACCTATTACACAGTGAAATAAGGAAATAACTTCCTACACAGAACACATCTACACTAACTGCTCCTAAGCACATATTCTGACACTTATCATCGATAAGTACCCAACTTAAGCTGTATTAACTTTTAAAAACTTATATCATAAAGGGCCTTGGCTCTTGGCAGTACTACCAGATTAACTTTTCCATCTACTGTGTAAGCTATATGCTGAGATCCAATTGGGCTAAGTTGTACCGTTTTGAAGTAAATACTGTCAAAATGAAGAACATACTCCATCCCAAACCCGTTGTTCACGAGAGGGAAATTATCAAATATTTTAAGATCCCTCGTAGGTGTAGCATGCCCAAAATGGGGCTTGGTTCTGGGGTTGAAGATACTAAATTCAAAGATGATCTATTTTGTCGTGTCCATGAATTTCACTCATTCAAGGAATTCCCACTGCATTACACTTCTTCAAAGTAATTACTTGGTATCTTTGGTGGGGATATCACGTTTGCCACGTATTTGTACTGTTCCAGTCAAAGATATCAAGTCACTCAATTTGCCATAACAAAAAAAAAAAAAAAAATCAAAGAATGGTAAAAACAATCACCTTGTCCTGCTCGTATTTATCTCGAACAGCTTTGAAGGACGCTGCCCTTTTTGACAAATACAAGTCATGTAAGATGAGAACACACTCTTTTAACTCAACTGATTTATAACCCGAGCATTCACACAGGGATGAAGTCTGCAAAAAATTCTCAACTATAAGTTCCTTGAAAAACAGATATTAGCGTGTTCTTTTAGAAGAAAAATAGATTACTATCCATAACATCAAATATTTACCCAAGGATGAACTTCAGGCCAGAAGATAATATATCTGGCAAGAAATATAGCTGACGCAGCCACAATAGAAGGCAAGAATCTTATACAATCATAGTCCAACAAACTTAGCTCAGCCAGATAGTAGCCTAAAAATTCGATCAGCGAATTTAGAGTCTGAAAGTAAAAATACAAAAAACAATTAGTAAAACACAAAAAATCTTTTAAAATAACCAAGAAGAACGGGAAGAGCAATTCATTCAACTTACATTTTGATTCTCACCAGCAATCCCAGCAAACCTCCTGAAACAGTAAGAACACAAATTAATCCAATCAATTTCATTTCAATGTTGGTTTAAATATTCAAATTTGCAAAATAGAGTTCCTACCTTATAAAGGTCATTACAGTTGGGTTGCCCATTTCAAAATTCAGGGACTTGAGTATGTCAGCTTCCATTTTTACAACCTGAATAATTGCAATTAACAATGGGTAGCAAAGTGAGGAGAGGAAACTGGCAAATAACAAAATGAAATCCACTACTTGAAACAAAAACAATATTTGATACCAGACCAAAAAAAAATAAAAAAAATAGCATATTTACCTCTGTCTTCTTGTACGTGTTATCGGTAATGTCGCAGAAATCTTCCACGCTGGGTGGGTTAATTTCTTCATATTTCCTGCACATTAAAAAGGAATATAATTATGCTGCTTTGGCAAGATAAACAGAACAATGTTTGTGAAATCAAAGGCAGCTGGTGAAGCCTTACGATGCAACGAGCAAAGAGGAAACACCCAACAACTGAAGCCTGGGTTTAGTCATAGGATTAATTGATAAAAATCTATCAATGTAGGAAACAGAGAGATGGAGAGTGTCGGGGAGAAGGTTGTACTCCTCTGCAACCTCAACTAACCAATCCACCAATATTCCTCTCCTGTTTGCATTAACTTCTTTCTGAACTCTTTCAATGTAGTCAATCAATGGTCTTCTCTTTTTCTCCATCTGAGAAACAAGCAATGCAAATATTGAGACAACCCAGCAAAATCAACAACAGCAACAGACAAACAAACAAACATTACCTCCATCGTGCGAAGATACTGATAGATGTCGGATTCAAAGGGTTCACTAGATTGGGGAACATCCTTCTCCGACAAAGAAACGGCCCTCTTTGTGGCAGCTGATTTCTTGATCCTAGGATTTTTAGGACATTGCACTCTCTTGATCCTGGGATTTGAAGTTGTCAGATCTATAAAATTGGGTACACTAGTAAGTTCCCCCAACACAACCCGTGGCTTTTTGCACTTGGGTTGTTGATTCTCATCTGAGACAAGTGTTCTAGCATTAGCCCTCTTCTTTGATGCACGAGTATCCATCTCCTTGTGCCTTGTTGGTTTGGAAAAGAGGGTAAGAGAAAGAGTTAGATGATTCGGTGTTTATGTAGACAACAGCACAAAGAGTAATGTGTGAAAAACTGGCGAAAACCCAAATGTTTTTGGACATCCCGCTCATCTTAGAATCTGTAATAAAAAAATTTTAAGTTTCAAAATTCATTTATATTTTGAAGTTGGATTGGATTTAAAAGTTGTTTTCATATGGCGGGGGCGGGGACAGCGCGCTACTTTTCCGCACTACTGTCCAATTAAAACACAGTCAAACTTCTATGCAACAAAAGATAACATCTTTTTATTTATTTTTCTTGTAATTTTGAGATTTTCGTATTTGTGACCCTCTTGATATATCTGTGACTGTAATAATAAAAATATAATTAATTTATATATTATGCATTAAATGATATTAATTTTTTTATAAATATTTAAAGTGTTTTCAAATATATTAGTAACACCTCTCTTGTTGGACAACTAATAAAACAATTTTTAAAATTTTGTTATTATTAAAGTATATATTTTCATTAAAAAAATTACATTAACCTTATATTAAAACTAATAAATATTTTGTAGATAATAGATGGATAATAAAATCAAATGAAAATAATAATAATAATATAAAAAAATATTTATTGGGAACATCATACATATTTCAATTAGTTTGGTTTATATTTCAGTTAATAGGATTTTCATCTTTACCAAACAATAGGGTAAAAACTTAAATAACAAAAAACCAACTTGATCCAAAGATACATTATGAGTAAATTTTAATTAATGCAACATCATGCACGGAGGAAAACGACAATTGTTAGCAATAAAATTAAGAATCAGTGAGGTGGGTTTTTTACCGAGCCAGAGTTTGTTTATATATATATATATATATATATATATATATATATATATATATATAATTTATTTTTGAATAGATATTTTAAATTATTATAGTCAATCTCGTACGTTAATCGTACGAGATAGGTTTTGCAACTCAACAATGCGAGACTTAAAGCCAATATAATAGTTTCGTATTGACTATGCCAAATTCTTTTAAGTCTCATATGTTGATTATACGAGACTTTATGTAACGTGACAGTCTCATAATTTGACAGTGTAGGACTTAAGAGTCTCGCACGTTAATTATATGGAATTTAATGTTAGTGTGACAGTCTCATATGATAAACATGCAGGACTTTATGACAAACATAGGTCCTCTACAATCTACGACCATTAAATACTCCTTTACAATTTAACAGGCCCAAAACTCCATTATACTGTCAGTAGAAAAAAAAAACACAATAATGAGAATAATGATTTACAAATTGCTTAGGAAATTGGTATAAATAATATGAAAAGGCATATAAGTTATGTCTTACTTTACTTAGTTAGTGCTTGTGAGCAATGTTATAAGAATCGGCTTAAATCAGTTGGTTCAACCAATAACCCAGTGAACTATTAATGTAACCGGTCCAAGCGACCTCTTAGGTCGATTATGCATGAGAATCGGGTTAACTCAGCCGATTTTGCTATATTCATATCCAACCGGTCAAAAGTCAACAATCATAGTCTAAAAAATCGTGAATGAGCCTTTCTTTACTATCGAGGATTCTTACACGGGCTGTTTTCGTCCTTTGCTTATAGACATTTTGCTTGTTTATTTCCTAGTCGACTTGTAAATTAGAATTGTTAATTTCCTTGCTACTGATATATTAAACGTTTTGAGATTTTTTCTCTTTTACGAAGTTGGGATGGAAAAGAATAAGTTGTGTTAACATCATGAATTCTTATTTTTTGTAATATTTTATGCAAGTTGTCATTACAAGCCATGGCGATAGAGGCATGATGAAAACTAATAACATTCAAACATAGTAGATGAAAATTTTCATAGAAAAAAAACTATTTTTTAAATAAGGATCTTTCAAAAAGATGTACTTTAAAAATACTATTGTATTATATCATAGCAGGCAAGGGATCTCTTACGATCCTAATGCAACGTATGGGATTTGGAGTTCCATATTGATTGTACGGGCAACTAATGTCAGTTTATAAGGACATTGGTATTTCCTATCTCTTGAGCTGGCTTTTGGGGAGAGGTTCTCTCAATGTTCGTATCTATTGGTATATATTTGTTCTTTGTGATGGGAATTGCTTTTAGTATACATCTAATTGGAATGGAAATTGCTATGAAAAATGCAAAAAACAACTATACTTGAAAACTATAGTTGCCACAAATTATAGATATAATTGGTATTTTGTAGGATGAGAATTACCATAAATTAACCGTACAAATGATTATTATTAAAGGTACAGACCATTTTTGTGCCTTACCTGCAAGCACGAAAAAAAATCATTACATCCCTCTTCATATTTATCAGGTATGCAGTAGTATGACACAAGTTATTCCTCAAACTGTAAACCATGGTTTGATCTCACCGTCTCAAGAGTTTTGAATCAAACAAGTAGAAAGTTGTAATTGTTGGCCCAAATGAAACATAATCACTGGTTTCACCTCATAAAGTCAAGCCAATTGCTAAAAACGTGTAGAACTCATGTTGTAACACTACGTCAAATTGGCAATTTGTACATGAAAGTAGTTGATTTCTTATTACATACCATATAGCAGTAATTGAATAAACAGGTAAACAACAAGAAATGTTATTAAATAAGGGGGTGTTTGGTATAAATTTTTTTTCTAGAATCCCGAGAAAGTGGGATTGGAAATGTTATTTTTCCACAATTGGTACAAGAAAGAGTAAAAAATTCCCGAAAATCTTGCTTTCCCTTTCGCCATTGTTTGGAGTACTATTTATCACAATGCCACTATCTATTGAAATTTTCCTGAAATGTCACGTCATATTCTCTCTATGCCAACAAGCGAGACTGAACTTGACAAGTGACAGTGTCTTGCAGGCCACAAATACGCCCAACAGTGTAGCGAGATGTGTGGTCAATGTGGCAAACTACCATATCTCCAAAAACTTGTCCACCTGGCTAATCTCGTTGGGCTGACCAACGAGATTAGGTGAACTTTTTCCACGTCTTAGCACACTTCGTATTTCGATTGGCTGCTAACCGAGACTAATGGCAACTATACACTCAATAGATGCATGTGTGACATGTGTCACAACCGATGACTCTCGCTAGGCAGGCTGAGAAGTTATGTGCAGCCAAACCCCTATGAAAATATTAGTATAGCGAAAACAACAAAAAAATCTAAAACATTATACATTTTACAATCCTAAATTATTTATCGTTAAAATTAATTATTTACAACATTACATTAAATATAAAAATTAATTCACATTATAAAAATCAAACCAATATTACATTCCTTTTTACAATAATACATGCTAATAACAACAATAATAACAAATAAATACTAACCTAATTACTAATTTAAATAATTAACTACCCTAAAATTTACTTATACTAATAATTGTAATAAATAATAAATATGTAATCTATCCTGTGATTTTTTATATTAATACATACTAATAACAACAATAATAACAAATAAATACTACCCTAAAATTTACTTATACTCAGGGGTGTTAACGGGCCGAGTCGGCCCAGAATTTGGTCTTAAAAGGCTAAACCCGTGTTTAAATATGCCAGTCTAGCCTAGTTTGCTACCTGTTATGAATATAATTAGCGGTTTATGACCTGACTTATTTACAAAAAATAAAAGTAAAGTTTAGCCTGTTAAACAAAAAATAAGATAACAAAAATTTATACAAACATGATATATGATCAACAACACTAATAATTCCATAAAGATTCATAAATTATATGTATATCCAAACAACATAATACAAAACAAAATAAATCAAAAAATTTGTTTAACCAATAAATTGAGATGAAATGAGTTGAGGAGAGAGACGAGACTATTATAAATAGTATAAAAAATGGGAAAACATTTTCCCATGTCGTAGGATATTTGTTTTCGTCTACTAGTGACTCTTCAATTTTCGTGTAATATTTTCTTTTATTTTTTTATTTTTTTAATATATGTGGGCCCCACATAAGATGTGCCTACAGAATGAGAAAATTGTCTCCTACCGCATGAAAAATCGAAACCCATAAAAAATACAAAATTAAAATTAAAATTCGTATACTTGGCCAGCCTGGGAGGCTATAAGGCCGGACTTTTGAATCAGAGCCTATGACCTTTTTATTAAACGAGCTTTTATACAAGTCCAAGTCTGGTTCCAACAACTAATTTTAGACATGTAAGCTCAGACATTTATGAGCCAGGCCAAAGTCCCCCGTTTCATTTATCATCCCTACTTATACTAATTCATGTGATAGGGGGTTGGCTGCACATAATTCAACAGTCTGCCCAGCGAGATTCATGCGGTCATGACACATGTCACACATGCGTCAGTTGGGTGTACGGTTGCCACTAATCTCGATCAGCAAACCAGCGAGACATGTTAGAAAAAGTTCACCTAATCTCGCTGGGCATCCGAGTGAGATTAGCCAAGTGGGTAGTTTTTTGCAGATGTGGCAGTCTGCCACATTGACTACAAATCTCGCTACACTGCTAGGCGAGATTTGGGGCCAGCAAGATAGTGCCACGTGTCCAATCTAGTCTCGCTTGTTAGCGTGACAAGAATGTGACGTGCCATTTTGGAAAAATTTAAGTGGATCAAGGCATTGTGATAAATAGTACTCCAAACAGTGGCAAAAAAGGTCAATGTTCCCATAAAATTGAACAAGAAATTTCACCGAATAATCTCATCCCACAGCTGGTATTCAACAAACCCCACATGTTTGGAAAATGTTGGCAAATTATTGAAACAAAAATACCCTGTCGTAGTTATCTTCCCCACCAACGTTATATTTTCTTCGAGCTTTGTTGGAAGCAGAGTTCTCCTATCCCTGAAAACAACCAAATTGCCACCATTTATTTTCAAAACAAGGTTTATAAACGCCAAAAAAAGCATCTTCAGGAACAAGAAACCTCAGCATTAGATAATGTGAAGAAGGAAAGGGTTGACAGGGTCCGGTTCAGCAAAAACAGTTATGTTCTCCAACTCGTCATCTTTCTTAGCCGTGGAGCCACAGTCGTTGTCCCCAATGACCCTGACCTCGTTGTCATTCTGAATAAACAAAAACGTTGCTCAATAAACTAAATGAACGATAAAGGTTAATTTTGTAAATTCAGTACACATTCCAATCAATATTTTATAATCAACCAAAGATAGTGATAAATCTTTAGTTTATTATGTTTTAAGGACTGATTTTACACAAAATATCTAGACAAATGTATAAGAATTAGGGTTTATTAATGAAAAAATATGAACTATTGAAATACGAAGTAAATAATTAACTTTTGCATGTTTTGAAGGTATATGAGTATAAATGAGAGCAAATATGAAGCCCACAAGCTTAGAGCTTAGAATTGAAGATCATGGAAGTCACAAAGTGCGAAATAAAATAAATTATGATATTTGAACAGGAGTCCCACTGTAGAGCTTAATCGCCCAAGTTACAAAGAAATAACAAGTCTATGTAATAACACGCTGAATCCCCCAAAATGGAGCTTAAGTGCGCTGCCATGTAAAAAGTTCCTATTTGAAGAGAGGACTTAAGCGTCCTCATACGAATCTGTCTTACTGTCGTGGAGCGCTTGAGTGCCCAAGAGGGGGCTTAAGCGCCCATCATGGTCCAACTTAGACTCATTTGATTGTTTTCATTTAGGGCACAGATTCTTCAACTATTAAAGGGCAAATTGAGGCAGAAATCATAATCATCTGATCAGTCTTGGAGATTTGAAGCAAAGGAGGATCGTATTTTATGTTCTTGAGAGTTGGAGATGGATTGGTATCAAGTTTGCACTGAAAATCTCGAAGATTCACCACACTACTGTGGAGTATGAGGGAGATTTATCGTTTTCTTTCATTCTTTATTCTATTATGTCAAGCTCGGTTTTTATAGTAGTTAGGGTTAGATAGAACACATTTAATCTTTTATGTTTTGAATAAATTATTGATGTTATTCTTCCTTTTTTATTTTAAATGAAGATATATTTTCTTAATGCTTTCTATGAGCTTGAATCTTGTAGATTGATATAAGGTAAATGCATGATAATATGAATGTTGGTGTATGATTCGTATATGATAACTTCATCGTAATCTTTATGATTATAGGGATAGACACATGATTTTACGCAATCGTATGATTCTTAAACGTAACGCTTATCTTTTTGGGGAATAACTGAGGAACTATGATTTTTGCAATATTATAAATATTTAGGGTGTCAAGGAATTGAATCCTAATTAAATTAAAATAATCGATTGACTTTATATTAAGGATGATTAATATGAAAGAGTGAGTTCAAAACATAAATGGGAGATGGGAGAAATTGAAACTTTAGCTACGTTTTTTTCTGTCAAATAATCAAAACTTTTACGTTATTGTTCTTGTTTTTACTTATCTTTATAAAATCCAAACCAAATATTGTTACAAATTCATGATTGATTGTCCAACTTAAGCGGAAGTAGTGAATTAGTGATTGAATTAAAATTCTCGCGAGAACAATCTCATACTCAGTACACTTTATTTCTTGTACGATCGGTGCACTTGCCAAGTCTACAACAAATAGCATTAAAAAAGTTGACCCAACATTCTCAGGAATATTTTGTCAAACCAAATAATTTTTTGGTAACATTTTCAGAAAAAATTAACTTTTCATCATATTTTCGAAAATCGTGAATACTGGGTAAAAAAAATTGTTCTCTACCAAAGCCCCTGAATGGTTAAGGGACTCTCCCGTTGCAAGAGAGTCACTATCAGCAATATAGACCAAAAAAAAAAAAAAAACATATACGGCCCATATATATAAAAGAAAGCATTAGCACGAAAATTAGTGGTAAGTAGGGAAGAGTCACTTAACCCATTGTTACAAACTTGCACGAGAGTCACTTAAACCTCAAATAAAATATCCCCTCTAGCATGATTTTCACCTCAAATAAAATATCCCCTCAAATAAAAACATATAAGGCCAAACTTGCATGATTTTCAAATAAAAACAATTGAACTACGTCGGTATCAAGGGTTTACAAGGTCAAAAGAATTTTTTAGGTTCAATATTAAAACTTAGAATTGTTTGAAAAATAAATAAGTCTAATAACATTTATTTAAGTTTATAAGTGAGTTTAATCATTAGTAATATATTTGGAAAAATTATGATTGATTTATTGTGAACATGATTTTAAAACATAAATTATGTAAATAATTTTATTTTATTTTTATATTTATCTGGTTCAATCGGCTGAATTAATGACCTACTACATCAACCAATAATTCAATAATCCAATGCTTTAACCGAATCAATTATCTGAATGAGTTTCAAACAATATGAGCATTGTTTTCAAAGAGTCTTCACATAAGGAGTCCCTTGTAAGATGCCCATAATGTAACATTGTTTATTTTTAAACATGCACAATTCTTTATATATTAATTTATGTATGATATATGTAATATTTCTTTTGTAAGAAAAAGTTAACAAGCTTATTATACTTTCCGAACACACCTTATCATATACAATTTTAAAAGTTTAGAAATTAATTATTGACCATGGTAATTTTAAGGTCTTGGATTGATTATGTATCAGACTAAACTTTTTTTTTTTGGGTACAAATGTATAATCATTTTATTATAATGACATGATGCACCAAGAGGATGAAGTTTGTCCCGTAATTATTCAAATTAACTATCTTTTTTAATTTTTAAAAATAAATAAATTTATTAGAATTACTTTTGATTTTTCTTTTCGTTACAAAAGCCTATGATTAATTACTTTTACATAAAAAAGAACATTATTACTTAATATTTAGACACCTGTACTGTACAGACGAGTAATATATAATAATAATAATAATAATAATTATTATTATTAAAAGAAATCGATACCCAAATTATAAAATAATAGAATATTTTAACAATTTAAATTTAAAATCAGAGCGCACAGTTTTTCATTTAGGGGGGAAGAAGTTTTGGACCAGAGGAGAGCGAAACGTGCTATCCCCGTCATACCAAATCGTCATTTTTAAACTCAAATTCAAATCATTAAATTTTGAATGAGAAAGGAAATTCGCCAAAATTTTCATCAGACGCCAAAACATTTTGGTTTCCGTTTTCATTTTCATTTTCATTTTCATTTTGAGTTTCAGAAATAGCGGAAACGAAGCTCTTCATGTTTTCTATTTTTATATGCCTGAATGTCTCATCTCCAATCCCAAACCCTCGAATCTCAGAACGCTATTCTCTCAGTTTCTCTGTTCTTCAACTGATCGTGAGAAGAGAGAGCTTCCAACACTGCCGGAAGCTGAGATGGAAACTCGCGCAGCAGCAAAGAGGAGGGTCAACCAACCCGAGAATCAACCGCTCAAAAAGAAACGTGTTGTGTTGGGTGAAATTTCCAACTTACCTGATCTCACCGCTACTCAAACTTCGCTTCCCAAGAAACCGAAATGTCTGAAGAATCCCAAGGTCAAGAAAGCAGCGTCGTCCACGAAGAAGAACCTCAGTTCTGCGGATTCTTCAAGGGTCGAGGTGGAGAAATCAGTTGACATTGTTATTGATGCAAAATTAAGCAGCCATGGCAATTCCGAAGGTTCTTTGGTTTCCGACATGTATAACTATCTTAGCTCAATGGAGGTAATTCTGGGTGTAGAGTCAATACGGTTGTCGTTTTGGTTATATTGTTCCTTTTTATGTTGTTGCTTCAATTTGTACCGATTCCGATGATTGCTTGCTTATCAGGCGGAGAAAAAACGAAGACCAATGATTGACTACATGGTTAAAGTTCAGAAAGAAATTACTGCAAACAATAGAGGAACATTGGTGGATTGGTTAGTAGAGGTTGCAGAGGAGTACAACCTTCTCTCCGACACTCTTCATCTCTCTGTTTCATACATTGACAGATTTTTATCAATTAATCCTGTGACTAAGCCCAAGCTTCAGTTGCTGGGTGTTTCCTCTGTGCTCATTGCATCGTAAGGCTTCACTAGCTTCTTTTTTTATTTTGCAAACATTGTTCTGTTATTCTGCTTAAGCATCTCAATTGCATTCCTTTTTGATAAACAGGAAGTATGAAGAAATTGACCCACCTAAGGTAGAAAAGTTCTGCTACATCACTGCTGATACGTACAACAAGGCAGAGGTAAATATGTTATTCTTGTGTCTGGGTCTGTTATCAAATCATGTTCTTGTTTCAATTAGTGGATTTCGTTTTGTTATTTGTCACTTGTCAGTTTCCTCCCCTCACTCTGGTTATTGTTGATTATATAGGTTGTAAAGATGGAATCGGACATACTCAAGTCACTAAATTATGAAATGGGCAACCCTACTGTTAAGACTTTTCTAAGGCAAGAATCCTGAGCTTTGTTCTTTATTCTGTTATTGCAAATATGAAACTTCTAGACCCAATTGAAATAACATTTGGACTAATTTTGTGTACTTACTTTGATGTAGGAGGTTTACTGGGATTGCTTCTGAGGATAAAAAAGTGAGTTTGATTACTCGTTCTGTGTGTTTTGGTCGTTTCACAAGCTTTTGTTAAGTTTACTGATTTATTTATTTATTTATTTTTTCTTCAGGCTCCAAATTTGATGTTTGTGTTTATGACTTCCTATCTTGCTGAGCTAAGCTTGTTGGACTATTATTGTTTAAAATTCTTGCCTTCCTTGGTAGCTGCGTCTGTAATATTTCTTGCTAGATTTATCATCTGGCCTAAAGTGCATCCCTGGGTAAGTATTTAATCTTATGGACAATAACTTACTAATTACCATATTAAGACCTGTGATTCAAAGAATTTATGAAGTTGTTTGCCTGTGCAGAATTCAGCCCTGCATGAATGCTCTGGGTATAAATCAGTGGAGTTAAAAGAATGCGTTCTCCTTTTACATGACTTGCATAGGGGAAGAAGGGGAGGGTCATTCCAAGCTACTCGGGAGAAATACAAGCAGCACAATGTGATTATTTAAACTTGCATTTCTTTGACTTTTATTATTGCAAGTTGATTGACTTGAGATTTTTATATTGTAACAGTTTAAATACGTGGCAAACCTCCACTGTCCTCCACATTTGCCAAATTCTCTCTTTGAAGAAGAGTGATGTAGTTGGATGGGTCTTGTTATCTTCTGAAGTGGTCCAATGTGTGATGTAACTTGCTATCTTTTGCACAAGAAGCATGCTATGCGGGGTCATCAGTCTAAATTTCAATTTTGTGGATGTTATATTGTAAATGGCGATCAACTTAATTTGCTAAAGTTGTGGTCAAGACACTCTGGAATTTGCTTAGCTAGGTATTGAAATTGTAGGAGCATTTACCTCAAAGTGCAGTTGAAGGTATAAAGCTCCACTTCAGTATTAACTAATATGGTGTGCTTTTGTGCTGCAGGTTTTAACTATATTGACCTTCCATCCCATGACAGTAATGTCTGTCTTTCCATTGAAGAATGTATAAATGTTTCTCAGCTTGTCCTCAATAGTTAATGTGAAACCTAATTGCCAGCTGCTTCTTTGATGGTCATCTCTTTGTATTGATAAAATAGTACTCTTGTTAAAATTGTTTTATACATTTGATATCTCTATAGTTTGTTTGTTTATTTGAGAGAAATGTAAGAAAACAGAATCATGAATGAGAAAAATTCAGCGAGTAGTTGTTAACTTTAGATTACTTTCCATATATGCGTATTTCATTATTATTTTGATGGTTAATTCATCACTATTTTCTTTGAAATAAGTTGTGTCCAAATTCTTTTTTTGTATATTTGTGAGACTTATTTATCATCAGGGATACTTTGTAGATTGAAATAGGACGGTAATATACTTAATATTGTTATGAAATTAAAGAACATATGGCATTTCTTTTTCAACCAAAAAGGAAATTGTAAAAAGAAGATACAAGGTTGCGGTGGTTGTGTTTTCATGAGACATTTTGGAAAAACTTTTTTGTAGGAAACATTTTTATTTTGCCTATGTCATTCAAAGTCAGATTCATCAAATTACAGCAATTCCATATAACCAACTTAAGTTATTGTAGTGCATACCTACGAGCCATGCACATTGAAGCCTAGAGATAAGTTATACACGTTCAAGCCCAAAAATAATAACACATTGGAAATACTTTATTTCAGCTGTTGGCTGAAGAAGTGCAAATACATAATCATGTTTTGCCTTATTTCTCACTTTAAACAGTGTCTAATTTTCTAGGAAATACGTTGATTCTGATTCATCATCAAAATGTTTGGCAGGGTAAATTGAGGAAAATACTGTTCAAGTGGTTGTCCGTCCCTTGTCTCTGCAACCGACAAAGATCCATTTCCTGCAAATATAGTGTAAACAACAGTGTACAGCATCCATTACAAAACAAGGGCTCGAAATCAATACTTGTCTTGAGACACAACAATGGTGTTGTAAAAAGTTACTTTTATCAAGATTGTATTCGAATAAGCACCTAAAGGATGGAGGTGTTCCCAAGAGGACGGATTAATGTTGATAACTTGTCCAAACTCAGGAGGTGGTGTGTTATTTATGCCGGTCACTAAACTATGCCTTGGACTCATTTGACCATCCTGATCCATGTTTGCAGAGTGCAGAAGTGTCGAATTTGGCGTTAACATATCAACAACAGAACTATGTAATTGTCGATCTCTGAATGCAGAAAGATGAGAGATAAACGAATTGATGCAAATTTTGTAGTTATTGACAAATGGATCAATGCCAATAAAAAGTACCTGAGAGGAGCAGGGTCATAAGTATTCGCGAAGTTCAGAATCTGAACATGTAAATCTCTCTGTGGAAACCAGTCTACTGCGTTCTTTGAGGTTCTGGTAACAAATCCATCTACTTCTACAGTTTTTGCAAGATGTACCTAATCATAACAATCAATTTGTAGTTGCAAGTTGCAACCAATAATTATCTGCAATTGTAATATAACGTGTACATAGTTCTATATTTAATAAATGATCTCAACTTTAAGTTGTAACCTTGTAATCGATATCCTTCCATGTTTTTTTTTTTTTTAGAGTTATTGAAGAGGTATTTAGCATACATTTATATTTTCATCTAGGCATCTAAAATTCCTTGGCTAGATACTTGAGTTAATAGATTCTGTTAGGAACGCAAGTATAGAATTAATCTAATATCATAAGAAAAAGGTTTCATCAACTTGTCAAGATACCTGAGAATGAAATTATATATCAGCAAACAAACACCTTGTTGGTTAGATTTTGTAGAATAAATTGGAATGAGGTGATCAGGGAATGTTATATAAGTTAGCTTAATCTTTATATACCTGTGGAGATGCACGAGAATTATACTCTTCCACCAAAACACCCTGTTCTGGAAGAAATTGTTAGTTGCCTTTCATCTTAAGACATTTCAGAATTCACATCGTTAATTAACTCCATAAATTTTTGAGAATATTGTACATAAAAATAATAGATGTAGTGAATTTATTGTGTGGCTACTGTTGACGGTAATTAAGCAATCAAACTTACTTTTCGCAGCTGCACTTGTTTTAGAGTTTCCTGAAGGACATGTTCGCGATATTCAGCCTCACACAGTGTAGTGATCTCAGAAGGATCACCTTCGAATATCCTAAAAAAATTTAGTGTGAAACAATGAAGGACATGCTATTTTATTTAATTGATGATATAAGTAGTAAGCAATGATAACGTCAAGGTAACCTTAGCCGCTTCTTCATCTCTTCCAATTGAGACTTGCAAATGAAAATTTCTCTTTGAATCTCCTGAAGATCGCATAGAATGATCAATCGAACACATATATATTAATTGAAGTTGGAAATAGATTTGCTAGATGATATACAAATGCTCTTTAACAAATACCTCAAGTTGGGAGTCTGTAGTCATCGGGCTGCATCGAAACACCCTAAAATGTAGTTTTGTAAACAATAGTAATAGTATACTACAATTCAAACCTGATAGTAAATAATCAAATGGTAGACAAAACAAGAGCTCTAGAAAATACCTAGGGGCTTGGCATATTTGATCGGCTTCAACTTTCAACTTTCTAAGCACCTTTTGAATGTGCTACAAAGACGATGAAAATTTGTAATTTCAGAACAATATTCCAAACAACCTTACAAAATTGATGTCCAGTTCAACTTACCTCTTGATTATGTATCCTTCAGAGTTGCACAGTAACAAGAGTTTACGCAAGTCCACAATATGGGCGATAAATTAAATGTGGCAACATTAGGATAAGTTAGGAAGCATCAAGCACTATAAGAAGAAAAAAAGTACTTTAAACTATTATCTCAGAAGTTTAATGAGGGATTCTTACCGTCCACGTTCATTCTCCGGAAGATTAATATATCGTTCTAGAATTTCTTCAATGCTTCAAAAAATATATTGAAAAAGCTAGTGACATATTTGGATTTTTTTAATAAAGAACAGAACATTTAAATAAATGAGATAAAAGTATGCCAACCTTCTGGTCCCAGAGAAGAGACTGGCTCTCCCAGATGGGGAAAACATGATGAGAGCTACATCAACATCACAAAGAACAGAAAGTTCATAAGCTTTCTTGATTAAACCATTCCTCCTCTTTGAGAAAGTGACTTGCCTATTTGTTGTGTTTTCAATCTTTTTGATCGGAAGCTTCACTCTCCCCATATTTCACCCTATCAGCACTGGTGACAAGAAGTAAAATAAATAGGAAAAGGAAACATTAAACCCCTCGTAACCCTCATTGAATTGCATCTAGAAACTTAGGCGGCGACATTAGAAGAAAACAAGGAAAACAAGGAAGAAATGTAGGTAGTGGAATTTGTCTGTGTCAGGCCATCTATAGAAGGTGATGCGAGAGAGTTAAGAAAGAAAGAGATGGCGGTTTATACGCAGATAACTTTGGAAGATGAGGTCGGTCTCAAATTAATTAATACATTAAAACGTTCTTTACATAAAATCCTCATTGTACAAACTCAATACATAAGAATGTGCATGATAAGTTATCTTCCGAATTGTCATAGCTTGAAAATGTCCTGAATCAAAATGAGAACAGTGAGGTTTTGTCTCGAGAAAACAGAAGAAACTGTATCTGAAGTTGAAAAGTGAATATCAACTAACATCATGTACATTTTCTTTGTTACTACTTGCTAGCAATGACCATAAAAGAGTGAGCTAGATGTCATAAAAGAAGCAGGATGAAAGAGACAAGCTTGCGGTGGTTTCAGCATTCAAGCATGCTTGAGGAAGGAGGACGGTTACGCATTAAGTAATGAATTTTTTTGTTTTTTTGAAATAAATAACGGTGATTGCAGAATTCAACGCCACGTCTTCAATTTTTTTTATTGTTGTCTCACCGACTCTGACTCCTTTTTTATATTTTCCAACTTGCATGAGTTGCCTCGTGCGTCATCCTATTTAGTGGTATTGTTGGAAAAAAAAAATTTAAATATTGTTTTTTTAATAAATAATTACATAAATGTAGTCGTTTTGAAACTATTTATATATGTATAGCAGTCAAACACGCCCACGGGAGCGTGACCGGTTGGAGAGAGACACTCCTCATTGGGACGTGACTGAGGAGAGAGACACTCCCCTGTAGGGCGTGTTTCACTCGGTGCTGCCACGCGGCGCAAAAGTCAACAGTTTGACCGTAAAATTTTGAAAGTCCATAACTTTTGACTCGGGTGTTCGAATTAGGTAATTTTTTTGATTCCACATCACTTTTTCGAGATCTGCGTAATGACACTGATAAACCTTTAGTTTATCTTGTTTTATGAACTAAAATAATATGAATTATCTAATTGAACAAGTCAAAAACTAGATTTTTAATAGGATAATCATGAACATTAATCTGATTGTTACTTAATTAAATTATCTTTGCTAATTTTAAGGGATTTGATGACAAAGAGATTCAAATATGAAGATTTGGATAAAACGAGATCAGAAAAGAAGATGAATCAAGGTGGAAACAAGAAGATTGAAGATCTTATCAAGTTGTTAGCAGAGGGAGCTTAAGCCCCCATTTCGAAGCCTAAGCTCCCTAAAAACGCATTTGCCACTGCCTCTGGGTGCTTAAGCCCCCCAACTCAGGGCTTAAGCGCGCTGCCAGAAGAAAGCTTCAAGTCAAGGAGTGCGTTTAAGCACGCAACGCGAACTTTGCCATCACCATCCTAGGGGGCTTAAGCGCCTGAAGCAAGCTTAAGCGCCCCGAAAGATCCAATTTAGGCCCATTCGAGTTTTCTACTAGGATACGAACTCTTGGCCAATAAAAGCACCATTGGGGACCAGAATTAATTAACTTTGGATATTGCAAAACAACTCTCGGTGCTTGGAGGCAGAGGGAACGCGGAGAAACACTCGGTTCATGTTCGTGAGCGGCGGAGACGGATCAACATCAAGTCTGCACTGGGGATATTGAAGATTCACCAATCACCTATGGAGTTTGGGAGAGCTTTTATATTGTCTTTCATTCTTGATATTGTTATGTGTGGCTAGTTCTTTAAGTAGTTAGGGTTAGATGGAATTTAATCGATTTATTATGCGTTGAACAATTTGTATGTTAATTTTCCTTTATATCATGAATCAAATTATCTGTTTTTAATGTTTTATATAGGCTTGAATCTTATATAATGATCATAGGTAAATGCATGACAATAGGAATGTTGGTGTGTGATCCTTATATGATAATTTCATCGTACGCTTTATGATTCTAGGGATAGACATAGAGTTTGCGTAATCTTTAAGATTCTTGAACTCAATGCTTGCATTCTTGGGGAATAACCGGGGAACTAGGGTTCTTTCAAGATTGTAAAGGTTTTAGGATAACAAAGGATTGAGCCCTAATTACATGCGAAAGAATTGATTAGATTGATACTAAGGACGATTAACGTAAGGAAGGAATTCAAACGTAATAAAGAGATTGAAGGAAATCGAAACCCTAGCTACGTTTTTATTTTATCAGTTTATTCAAATCTTTACTTTCTTGCTTTTAAATCTTACAATCAATTAGTTTTAATATTTTAATTTTTCAACTCAAATTCTGTTTCCAAATACAACTTTGATTGTCCAACTAAGTTTGCGATAGTGAATTAGTGCTTGAGTATAATCCTCGTGGGAACGATCTCTTATTCAATCATTATATTACTTGTACGATCGGTGCACTTGTCGTGAGTAGCAACAGACACCTCATTTGACATATTTTGTCTCTCACCAAAAAATTTGAATTTACAACAATGATACCATAAGAACGTTTAAATCCAAATTAATAAACAAAAAATCACTGTTATAATTAAAAACATTCATAGTAAAGGCCCTTATGATTATAGTAAAAATACATCAAAACGACATAGTTTTATTAAAAATGATATAACTTTGTGTCATTTAAAATAATAAAAATAATAAAAAACTATCCCCACCTTAATAGTTTTATCAAAACATTCATGGTATCTCATCGAAAGAAAAGGAAAAAAATAATAAAAATAGAGAAAAATGTGTATCCTTTTAAAGGATGTAAAGTTGTATCATCTTAAGTGAGAGAAAGAGATATATAAAGGAAGAGAGAGAGAGTGAAAATAAATAAATAAAGGTATGAGTCTCACCAGAGTGAAAAGATATAAGTTGTGTTATTTAAAAGGATAAACACTTTTCCATATATATATAGGGAAAAATATTTCTACAGCCACTTTAGATAAAGTTATCTACAACTATCCCTTCTTAGGTCGTACTTAGTTATAACAATAAAACTGTTTTTTTTTCTCTCTCCTCAGACACTGTCGATTGACATGGCGGAGAGAGAAAATACACTTTTAATGTACGACCGATCGTACTTAGTGAAAAAAGATAGCTGTAGACCACCTTATCTAAAGTGGCTGCAGAATTGTTTTTTTTCTCTCTCTCTATATATATATTAACGTTGCAATTTATAATAATGTTTAACTTATAATTGTATGACTTACTGGTTACCTAAAAAATTTGAGATTTGGGTCCGTTTGGATAAGCTAAAAAAAAAAAGTGCTTTTTACGTTTTGTTTATTTTAGAAGTATTTTTTTACAAAAGATTAAACTATTTAGATTTTAAAAAATATATATATTTGACTTTTGACTTTTTTTTTTAAAAGCTAAATTTTTTAACTTAAAAAAGTGCAGATTTTTGATTTTTTTTTTTGTGATTTTTTTTAAACAGACATCTAAACAGATTTTATAGTGAAAATAATTTTTTTTTTATTACCAAAAAAAAAAAGAATTTAAAAAAAAAAAAAAACTTTTGAAGAAAAAAAACCCAATCAAAACAGGCCTTAGTATTAAAATTAGTCTTTGTTTTACTCATAATGGGTTTTTGCAACAAATAAGTCAAATATATAATCTTTTTGATTAAGTGTATTATATTATTAGGTCATACGCGTGTTAATTGAGTTATGTTTATAATTTTGTATTTATTATTATTATCTAAAAAATCTATATGATATTCGACTATTATCACTGTTTGTTTAATTCACCATATAACATTTTTTGATGGATTATTGTTTTTTTGATATAATATTTTTTTCACGAAGCAAATTTTTTTTCCTTTTTCTGTATATCTAACCTTTAACCAAATTGTTAACTTGATGATGCAACCTTTTGATCGGGTCAACTTTCATGTCTAAGTTATCAAATTATGGTTAAACAATATTTTTGTAGCAAATACTAAGTCTACTTGAAGATGTGATCTAAAAAGCATATAACTGCATTAGAAGGTATTATTTGTCCTTATTTTTTTTTAATCAAGATAAAATATGGGGCGAAATCATTTGGTTCAGGCCCAACCCATATTTTATTGAAAAAGGATTAAATCCGTCTAAGGACGGTTTGGATGAACTTTTAAGAAAAATGACTTTTTATGTATTGTTTTTTTTAAAAGAATCTTTTCTAAAAGATAAAGTTATTTTGGATGTATGATATAAAAATCAGTTTTACATAAAAAAGTTATTTATGTTAAAATAAAAAAGCATTTATATATATATATAATTACAATAAAGGGGAGATAAAATAGGTATGATAAGATGAAGTTAAAATTGTATGTTAAAAATTTATATTATCTTATTTCCAAAAAAAAATTTATATTATATTTTAATTTATACTTTTTTCAAAAACAATCAATTACTGGCTAAAAAAAAGCAGCTTTTTAACTTTTATTTTAAATTTTGCTTTTTTAAAAAGTTTTTATTCAAACATCTAAAAATTCTCAAAAAGTTTTTTATTTAAAAAAAAAACAACTTTATTAGAAACTTATTATAATTTGATTTCGAACATGAAAGAAAGGAAATAGTCACTTATTATAATTAGGTGAATCACGATAATTCATATAGCGTTGTGATGTTCTTAATTTGGTGTGTTCTTTTTCAATGTTCTTTGAGAACTCTTATTATAACGTAGCTCGAAATTTAGCTCATTCATCATTAATGCTAGTTTACTATTATTTGAATGTCAAAATAGTCCCTCAAAGCATATATCAGATTTTGTGTTTAATTATTTAAAAAAATATTTAATTTTTTTTTTTTTGGAAACGGATCCTAATTAAATCTTCGAGGCGAATCAGAATCCCCGGTATTCCCACGGGTTTGACTCTTTGAGCCGCCTATGGGACTAATCCAGAGTTCGGGTATGAGTTCAAGGATTAGGATACTTATGTCCCTTCCCAGATGGTGTTGGTAGGATTCAAACCGAGGTCCTCTCCCACTACTCAGTCCCCATACTACTTTTATTTTCTTAGATGTGCTGCACATTTATAAGTGCGACTCTTATTCTGAACTATTTATTAATAACTTCACTTATTTTTATCGTCTAGTAACATGATTACAACTCTAAAGCATTACTAAGATTTGGACAGAGTTCATCAGAGCAGCACTAATTGCGATTTTGTTTTAAAAAAAAAAAAAAAAAAAAACCTCAGGAGACTTGAAAGAGAGGTCTTAAAGAATTATCTTCTTACTTGGATAATATAATTTGCACATTGGTTCAGAGTTTGTTGATCGCTTGATTCTCTGTGTTCCAGTCAGTTATATAATTTGTGCTTATTATATCACTCTTGCATCATTTGATGACAATCAAATTTTATCTACATTTGAACTACTGGCCTATTTAACAAAACTCTTCAAAGATGTTAGAAAACTTTCATTTATTTAAGAAAATATGTTACCTGCAGACAGTACGACCATATATTTATTCATTTTCAAGACTTGTGTCCCGATTTGACACTAAGTCCATTCCCTATGAACTGTTATATATTTTCCACAATAAACTAAAAAATGCATGATATAAACTTTAATTTCTTGTTTTTCATTCTATAGTGGAGATTGCAATTATCCATCAGTGAATGGGCATGAATCAAAGTATATCTCGGATGGTATTCCTTTTTTGCCTCTTATTATTATTATTATTTTTCAATCCAAACCCGTCATTTTGTGTTAAAAATTGAATTCTCATCCTTTGATATAGTCATGGCACTTGAAGTCATTTTGTGTAGAAAAGTGTATCCTCATCCTCTGGCACTTAAGCTGCTGAGTAAAAAGAATGAAAGAAGCTACTCTTAACCTCTTCTCTTTAAAGTGTTAAGCACCCAAGCAATTGTTAGTCTGGACTTGGAGCCAATCTAATGCAAAAAAACAACTAATTATCCTTCTAACATGGGAAATTCATAGTGTTTGGGTCAATTTGGTGAATAGAAACTTGTGGCCACTGCGAAAGAGCAGCTGGTGATAGGAACTGATTATATCAGCTTTAGAATTATGGATAGAAACTTCTCAAAGATGCTTCGAATTTTAATCTTCAATCTTGAAATGAATATTCCCAAGCTTAAGTGCACCAATTCGTTTGTCAAAAGGGACTACAGCGTAGACTGGGTGTGTGGCTTAAAATGGTGCTGCAACTATTCTCATGGACTTTTACAAGCCTTTTTTTTCACTAATCACCGTGTCAAGGGCTCAAATATCGTTCTGAGTGGAGAACAAATGTCGTTTTTTTTTCTCGTGCAGACTGATAAGCACTACAAACTCACATGCTCACGGCATTCCAATTTTGTCGAAGAATTTCTAAAATTGCAAAAGCTTGCAACTGAATAAAAACAGGTTTATGGGTGGGAACCAAAGAGTGTCCAGGTGTTGAGATATATAAAATCATTAATGTAGCCTCATCCAACAGCTTAAGCTTTTGGGTTGAATTGATTCTTTACATGGTATCAGAGCCTCGGTATCACGGGTTCGATCCTCACCGCCCCCACTTTATTTCAAGTGGAATTTCTTTTTTCGCACAGGTAGGTGGGCTTGTGCATTGTTCACCCTTCAAGCCCAGTGGGCTCTCGTGTGAGGGGACTTGTTGAGATATATAAAACCATTAATGTAGCCTCACCCAATAGCTTAAGTTTTTGGGTTGAATTGATTCTTTAAACCAACCATCAGAGAATCAGAGAAGGGAACAGGTGAAATTTGTTTCAGGATGGCGCACCTTAATTTCTTAGCAAATCCAATGTTAAGAAATCCAATGTTGTAGCACCCTGCAGCACTTTTTTGGGATTGGACACTCTTCTTCCAAAAATGGTGCCAATCTGTTACTGCTGACGGACGAGTTTCAAACAATCACAAGGTGCTGAATGTTAACCAATTCACATGGCCTAGGTAATGCAATATTTTTTAGTTCAGTATCTTAGTTGCACTTTGTCAGCTTTTGGATTTGTTACTCTCTTAACAATATTGTTGCAAGGGACAAGAGTAGAGTACTAGAAAGAAGTTCCTTTTACAGTCATTTACTGTCAATTAGGGATATAAATGGGTACGCCGTTCACATTTTAACTTGAATAAAGCTTGGTATAAAATATTTAAGTTTGGCTTAATCGGTCTGTTTAAATCTATTGGGCATTTAAGAATAAAAAAATAATTAAAAATATTACTTTATTATTTAAATAATAATTTTATTTAAAATAAATAATATAATATAATTCAGCCATGCGTAGACTTATAGACAAGGTCATATAAAAAAAAGCCTATAACATGCTTTCTACAAAGACTTTTTCTAAGACTTGAACATATTTTATTTTATTAAATATAATGATCAAGTCTGATATAATATAAGGCCGGAAGTAGTCTCTAACTCATTTACATACCTAAATTACAAAACAAGGGGTTAGTTTGGAGTAAAGGATTAATATTATTTATTTACTTTTGTGATATACATTATTAAAAAAATACATAACCATTAAGTAATTAAATTAAATATAATATTATTCATAAAATTAATAGTTATATACATAATATAAAAATGTTATAAGTTACATAAATCAAATCACTTCCCAATAATCCCAATTGGCAATAGAATAAGAGTGAGAATAAGCAATTTTACTCTTGCATATATTTATAAAGATACCTAAATACTAAAGAAATTTGAAACTTGACCGGTTATTTTATTTAAATTCTAAATTCTACTATATTATATGTTATAAGTTATATAATATAAATAATTTTTTAAAAAAACCCTAAAAATTTAATTTTATTAATTAAATAATTTCTCGAAATATTTGAGTTTAACATTTTTATTAAACGGGTCAGGACATACCAAATGCTCCTACCAAACCATGGAACTTATCTTCATCTTATTCTCAAAAGTTGCATCCAAAATATTGGATGTATTATAATTTGTAATGCAATATTATTCATAGTTGATTCAATTTTTTTAACATAAATTCAATCGTGATAATCAAATCACATTAAATTAAGGTGTGATATTTATTAGAAATATTTATTAAAGTACAGTAAAAATGATATTCTTCAAAAAGATGTTTCATTCCAATAAAAAAAACAAAAGTTTTATTCCATGTGATTGCCACACGATCAATTATGTTTTATTCCATGAAGATCACGAAAAGGATTGGGTGAGAACGATAGGGTCGAGATCCAATTATGTTTTTTTTTGGCTAAAAAAATCCCAATGCATTAGATTGAAATGGAGCACGAAACGTTTGCTTTTCAGAGTGCTTTATGTAGGAGCCAAAAGTCGCCAATTAAGTGATTTATATGCGAATACGTGGCAAGTTGGCAATGAGAGTGGATCTTGTTAATTTTTTACATCATCTAGTCATATAATATTTTTGCAAATGAATTTTTTATGTTAAAAAAAACTTGATACGTGAGAAGAATATAATTATACAAAGATAAATTAATGATTATAATTTTGTAACTCTTATTTTAATATTTTTTTCTGTTTTATTTTATAATCATTAATTCATCTTTGTATAATTATAATTTTTCACATGACCATATTATTATTTTTTTTAACATGATCTAAATCCATAAACATAAATTTTTTTATATAAAAATAACCATTCCAGTTGGCAAATGACAATTTTCAGAAAAATTGTAGTTTAGTTTCATTTAAGCTTTTTTATGTACAATTTTTTTTTATGCACGTACATTTTCTTTTTCCTTTTTTAAAAATCTAGTTTATTTTAGGGATTGATGTTTCTTATATTGTTGAAAATAAAATTATTTTCTATACATACATAAAAATGTGTAAGACTTATATGAAGAGAAAAAATAAAATAAATCACATACATTTTTATATGTATGTAAAAAATAAAATTAACTCCATAAAAATATTAAGTCTTTTGTTTTATTTGAGAATCTTATTGAAGTAGAGAAATGCGACACACTTAATTTCAACAATAATTATTATCGTTTTGGTACAACCTAACGTTAGTTTATTAGTTTGATGTTTGATATAACAAAATCTAGATACTTTTTAATAAAAATTCAGAAATAGGCATATTACTATAAAAATTTACAATAATTTAATTATGCATATAAGCATATTAATTGTTTTAATGTTTTGAAGAAAAAATTATTATTTCTGCATAAGTTGCAGAAAAATAATATCTGCCCCAAACAAAAAATTGAATCTACTAAGTTCTTTTTCTTTTTTTAAAAAAAGTAGCATGAAAATCAATGTAAGAATTGTTGCCTTAGCATTTCCTAGCTGAGTAATCAGTCATTACACACAGACACACATAACTAGATCGATCCGTATAAATAGGCGCATTGGCTTTGCACACGTAGCAAGTTGCCGCGCACGGCAACTCAAAGCGGCTTCTACGGTTAATCTTCGCCGTACTCACCGGGAAATTGAATTCCGGAACCTTTGATTGTATTGAAAAGGAAGATTAACGATGAGTGCTCCGTCGCGAGAAGAGGAGTCCAAAGAAGATGACAAGGACGGAGAGGCTAACAGGTTGCTACAAGGGCAATCGGAGGAGGAAGAGGAGGCATATGAAGCGGGGGAGAAGATCCGGGTCGTAGATTTTGACTTTGATTCCGGGGATGATTCGAGTGTGCCTCCTTTCTCGTGGAAGAAGCTGTGGCTATTCACAGGGCCTGGGTTTCTAATGAGCATAGCGTTCTTGGATCCGGGGAATCTGGAAGGGGATCTCCAAGCTGGAGCCATCGCCGGTTACTCTCTCCTGTGGTTGTTGATGTGGGCCACGTTCATGGGCCTGTTGATCCAGCTTCTCTCTGTGAGGGTTGGTGTGGCCACGGGTCGAAACCTCGCTGAGCTCTGCAGAGACGAGTATCCTGATTGGGCTCGGTTTGTGCTTTGGTTTATGGCTGAGCTGGCCTTGATTGGTGCTGATATTCAAGAGGTCATTGGGAGTGCCATCGCCATCCAAATTCTTAGCCGAGGACTCCTTCCCCTCTGGGCTGGAGTTTTGATTACTGCTTCCGATTGGTATTCTTTTTCTATCTCATTACTGATTAAATTGAACTATTCAAATTTTAAGGAACCGTTGTTTCTAATCATATAGCTAGTGGTCTTAGTTTGTAGTTAAATTACTTTGTGACGTACACGATCTAGTGGAGGAGCTGGGAACCAACCGTACTTATAATTTGAATTGCCTTGCATGATTCATTATTAGAACTCATAGAGCCTATACTAAGGATATTTTTTGTTTGTTTCATGAGTTATAAGGAAACTTGCACTCATATTAGTCATGGGTTAAGAACTGGAATTGAATTCTATAAGATTAAGTTTCCTGTTAGTTGCTCTTTGATAGAGCAGTTGGCTTTTAACTGACTGTTAGTAGTCTTGATTTATGATGCAAAATTATAGGGAAAATAGGCTTTCAGGAAAATACAGAAGTTTTCTGCTATATTATCATTCTTCAATCATCAAAAGTCGTCCCTCACATCCTTCTAACCAGCCTTTTAAAGGCAATACAAAAAGTAACTGACAACAAAGGACCATCAATGGTCTTAAAAACTGATACAAAACGGAAATAACCATAAACAAAACATAAAGTCATGCAAACTGAAACGTCTGCAATTATTAAAATCCATAAAAAGCTTTAAAACTGAAACGTCTACAATTATAATAATTTATGGTGACTTAAGTGCATCATCCTCTCCCACTAGGAAAAGATTCGCCCTCGAATCTGCAACGTCTTCAGGTGGTAATCCAGGCAACTCTTCTGGTACAATATCACCAAATTTCCTAATTAAGATTAGGACTTGGAAATGCAATTCTTTGACTTGGTATATTCATTGGTAGTTTGGATCAATGATCGCATCTGTGATTCGTCATAGGAAAACTTTGTCTGATGTACCAGCAAGTCCCATTGCCCTTGACGATCTCCAATTAAACTTTTACCAAAAGCTAAATCTTTATCTCCCATTGTTATGCTCGTTGTCCCCAAATTCATAATACTGCTTGCAAACTAAAGACTTCTTGGATGAAGGATCATTCTGCATGATATTTTTGGGGAGAACTTCATCTTTGTTAGAGATATTCATCTTTGTTAGAGATATTAGAATTTCTAATAACTGACTTCCCATCGGAATCACTACAAGAGATTTCTTTCACCTCTGGATTCTCGTCGTCTTGCTCCCAATCATACTTATCATAGATAGGGAACTTGTCATAAATTAGAGCATCCATAACAGGATTCTCATCATCTTGCTCTTCATCATATTCATCATAGATTGGGACCTTCTGGTCTTCTGTCAAGTCTATGATGTCAAAGACTTTTTTGAGGGTGTGTGACCCGTCGATAAACTCATCTGGATGAGTGGTGCCTTCGAATTCCGGGATCTCAATGTTCACCTCAATATTAGCAAAAAAGGATTGATGTCCAGGTTGACTTCGTCCTCGAAGCTCCTGGTTCCGGTTCCATAATCTTCTTTCCTCCACATGAGATGATCTTTCAGATTCCCATCCTTCATCTGACTCGTGCAAGCAGTTGTTCGAGTTCTTGGATCCGTCTGTCCTTTTCCTTTTCCTCAATTTCAGCATCTCTCGCATCAGTATAATAATCACCGGTAGGTTGACCGCGTCTGCCGCCACGACCTCTTCGTCCAAAATTATAGGGAAAATAGGCTTTCAGGAAAATGCAGAAGTTTTCTGCTATATTATCATTCTTCAACCATCAAAAGTCGTCCCTCACATCCTTCTAACCAGCCTTTTAAAGGCAATACAAAAAGTAACTGACAACAAAGGACCATCAATGGTCTTAAAAACTGATACAAAACGGAAATAACCATAAACAAAACATAAAGTCATGCAAACTGAAACGTCTGCAATTATTAAAATCCATAAAAAGCTTTAAAACTGAAACGTCTACAATTATAATAATTTATGGTGACTTAAGTGCATCAATTTCAGAAGAGATGCAATTGGCAAGGTATTTATCGTAGTGATAAAAAAGTATAACAAGTTTTACGTGGTGGTGGATAATTTGCTTTATAGTTATTACTATACTGCAAATATTTTTCCCGCACCTTGATTCTAGAGTATAGACAACATTTTTTAAGGCAAGTTCAGCTAATAATTATGTCATGTCGCTGAAATTACTCATAAATTCGTACTCTGAACTCAAACTTTTCTGTCATGATATTATCAAACCTCTCATAGCCTCTCTGTTCCTGGATGGTTGCTTATGCTTTCATGTTATTTTGGGAACTCTTTTATCTTTAAACATTATGTTGTGTTTCTGTGGACTCAGTCAACTATGACGACACGTTAACAACATGCTCAGTTCCTTACCTCACTATAATTTTGAACATGTAATCCTTTTATCAGCACTAAAAGTTTTGAAATAAACTTTTGCATGCTACTCTAATATGAAAGTTAGTAAGAGAACCATCCATAAATCAACCTCTCTCTTTTAAACATTTACTGGTTTCATTTATTGATTTCAGTTTTCTGACTCTTGTTTGTTATTGTATTTAATTAATTGGTTGGAACCTTCCTACTTTCATGTTCAAACACGTTTAACTGTGGTTATTCTCTCTGTTGTTGAACAGCTTTGTCTTTCTGTTTCTTGAGAACTATGGAGTTAGGAAGTTGGAAGCTGCTTTTGCAGTTCTTATTGCTACTATGGCTCTTTCTTTTGCCTGGATGTTTGGTGACACAAAACCTAGTGGAAAAGAACTTTTGATGGGTAAATTTTATCTGATGTATTTGAAATATCACTTTCTTATGTGGTGCAAAATCCTGTCTTTTTTAATAGCTTGCCCCTCCCACTGGCATTTCAGAAATAAAAAGATTTCTGTCCTCTAATAATCCACACGTATAACTGTGTTTGTTCCTTCTGGTAGGTATTTTGGTTCCAAGACTTAGCTCAAAAACAATTCGTCAGGCTGTGGCCGTTGTTGGTTGTGTCATAATGCCTCATAATGTATTCCTGCATTCTGCTTTAGTACAATCAAGGAAGATTGATCCCCATAAGAAAGGCCAGGTACAGGAGGCTATCAACTACTATTCGATTGAGTCATCGGCTGCACTTTTAGTCTCCTTCATGATCAACCTATTTGTCACAACAGTTTTTGCTAAGGGTTTCTACGGTACAAAGCAGGCAAATAGCATAGGATTGGTGAATGCAGGGCAGTATCTTGAGGAAAAGTATGGAGGAGGGCTCTTCCCTATTCTCTATATATGGGGAATCGGGTTATTGGCAGCTGGACAGAGTAGCACCATCACTGGCACATATGCTGGGCAATTCATAATGGAGGGTTTCCTCAACCTTCCTTTAAAGAAATGGTTGAGAGCATTGATCACTCGAAGTTTTGCAATTGTGCCAACTATAATTGTAGCTATTGTTTTTAATAGGTCAGAAGCTTCATTGGATGTTTTGAATGAATGGCTTAATGTGCTTCAGTCCATGCAAATTCCCTTTGCATTAGTTCCCCTCCTCACGATGGTCTCCAAAGAGCAGATCATGGGGACCTTTAAGGTTGGGCGTATTCTTGAGGTGAGTTCATGGTTCACTGTTCTTTCATTTCATCAATTGTTAATTGTAAGATCTCTGAAGCAACTTCCTAATGATTCAAAGTTATGTTTTTCATCTTATTAGATTATTTGACAACACAATTAATTGGGTGGTAAGGAAACAAAAGTAAAGTTTTCCTTTGTTTAGCTTTGCCTCTGCAGCCATCAATCTTTTTCTCTTGTTAAGAATGGTTGGCTGTCTAGATTAACGGTCAAATTTAATCTGATAATCAAATCTCGAGTTATTTAAGATGTCTATTGGCTATTCAATCAATGATCTATGCCTGCTTGCTGGGTAAAAAATAGAAATAGAACTGCTGTAATATATTAAGGGAATGTAACAGGTTTTACATTTGGCTATATCTGCTTTTATCACTTGTCTTGTTTTGCCGAAGCTTAGATGCATTCAGTTCGATTTTTTTTTTTTTTTTAATCTTTATGCATCCAAGTTCAGTCTGATGAATTAGATGTGTGAATTCTCCAGTCATAAGTGTTTGTGTTTATGATTGGATTTGTATTCCTATCGTAGAATTGATCAGTAAAGTTGAATGTAATTTACTTGGAAGATCTGTTTCTTGCGTTGTGTATCTCAGTAGCCACAATTTTTCTGCGAACTTTGTTACTAGGACATTACTTTATTAGAGTTCGATTCAAGACATCCAAGGTTCATGAATCATATCTGGATATATTAATATATGAGAATCATGAGATCGACTTTGAAGTTTTGAATGGTTTGATGAGTTTGGATTTAAACAAAAAGGACAACTAGTGAACCAGTTATCCCATTTGTTGTATGGTACAACTTTATATACCTTCAGGACAAGATGAAGCTTGGAGTCTTTAGTCATATAAAATATGTTGGTCATTATTGAAAATTGGTCACTTTTACAAATTACTGTTACGAATATAGTTGCCAATGCACACTTGAAAGTCATTGAAAGTGCTAATTTTCTGACAGATTGTTTCTCATATCGTGAATGTTTCACTGCTACATAAGTACGTGGGGGTGCTTAAATTTCAGTTTGTACATCTATAGAAAATAAAAAAAGACAAAAAATCAGCATATACTGTTGCTTGCTTGAGTTCATAAAGTCATATTGGTTCAAAGAATTGTCTCATAGCATTAGGGAAATAATTGTTGCACACGCTTATGGTTTCTTTTTGCAAAAATAAGGGTGATGTTAAAGTAATTTAAAAAATAAAATATGATGTGCAAATACCAAATCCATTCAATAAGCTGATTTCCAGTTATTAAAATTGTCTGCCTTTTTATATAAAAATACCTAATGTTTGTTTATCTTATTTTATTTTTTGTAGAGGGTGGCATGGACTGTTGCTGCACTGATTATAGTAATTAATGGGTATCTCTTATTAGATTTTTTTCTTTCTGAGGTGAACGGCCTATTGCTTGGTTTCGTAGCCTGCGCCTGCACAGTTGCTTATGTTGCATTCATTGTATATTTGATTTCACAAAGCGGTGCTCTTCCTTCCGCTTGGGTTAATCGACTTCCCAAGGGGTTTTCTTTTATTGGGAATTAAGTCAAAAGGAATTCACACACCCTTAAAAATCTGGAAATAGTATGGCAAGCTTCAGCTAGACAATTTTGCACGAGGAGTTTTTCTTCATACATCATGAAGGAATTTGTTATATAGTTCCTCTAACCTTGCAACCTGGATTAAAGGGAGATATCTTTCTATAATTGAAGATATGCAGAGGTTATATCCTATTTAACTGCACTGTATTTTTGCAATAGAGATACAGAGGTTTCCTTCCATATGTAACAAGATGGAGATATCTTTGTGTAATGGAAGATGTGGAAAAAGCGTTGTTACAACTTGCAGGATAAATTACTTTCCTACACACCTTATTCTTTTTCTAACAAGTTCACATTGCTCCATTATTCTTTGATGTAAACAGTTTGTGTTTGATTTAGACAAACGGGTGCATGTTGCTTTCACGAAGGAACATGAGTAGATATCTATTCAGGCTGTATTAAAGGGAGATGTCTTTCTATAATGGAAGATGTGGAGAGCTTACATTTTTATTTTTGCAATAGAGTTTCAGAGGCAGGCAACCTTCCATGTGTAACGAGATGGAGATATCTTTGTGTAACGGAAGATGTGGAAAGAGCTTTATTACAACTTGCAAGATAAATTGCTTTCCTACCTACCTTTTTATTTTCCGAACAAGTTGTGAATTGCTCCATTAATGTTTGATGTAAACAGTTTGTGTTTGACTTAGACAAACTGACACATGTTCCTTTGTGAGGGTGGCCAGGTAAGACAACAGACATAAACTGTAGGGATTAATCAATAGTACAATGTGGAGTACATTTGCTGTGCTTCATTTTGTCTGTTTTCTAGTTGGTTATGATGTCATCACATGTGGAGGTGCTATTCCATTGCTTGAGCAACTCACTAGGGAACTATTAAAACTTAAAACTGAAAATTGTTTACACCTAAATCACCAGCAGATTAATTCCCTCAACAATTTTTTTTTTTAAATGTAAGGGTTCTCAACCATGAAAAAATGGTTTATTTTGTGGCAATTTAAAAATGAAAAATCATTTTCTCATGCAACAGGAGATAATTTTATCATGGTGTGAGACATCAAAATTCATATTTTTTTTCCCTCTTTTTTAACAAGTGGTGGGCCCCATCACTTGTTGTGTTTGTGATACAAGAAATGTTACCTTATGTAATATGAGAAAAGAGAAGTCCTTTAAAAATTTACATGTAATGGTATAAATGTACTCCATTGGATTTCTAAGTGCACCATCCCGTAGTTCTTTTTCTTTTCTTTTTTCTAAGCATCCTATGCTGTTAGAAGTTGTCTCTGTTAGTAATTGAAAACCCTAAGGAAAATCCTGTTTCAATGCTGCTTTGCTTGCATTTAGGGTATGTTTGGAAGTAGGAAGTTGAATGGTTAATGAAGAGGAAGGAATCAATGAATGGTTGGGAATGAAGGCTTTTTGACCCTTTTGCCCCTAATTAAATAATTAATAACCAATTTGCCCCTCCCCCAGAACTATCCACCATCATGCCCCCATTTAGTCGATTAAGTTGCACTTTTAATCGACTAAATGGGCTAAACTCAGAAATTATGAAACGCGAATTTTAGTCGACTAAAAACTCACCTTAATCGACTAAATTGTTTGCACTTTTAGTCGACTAAGAACATTATTTAGTCGACTAAATGTCGCAGATCAGGTTTTTTAAAAACTCCCCCATTTCGCAAAGGGGGTTATTTTCAAACCCTAATCGACTAAATCACTCCATTCCGTCCCCTCTCTCCAACCAAGTCCGAATCTCAACCCTTGAAGGTGCGATTGAAGCTTCCTTGGTTCACACTTGCGAAATCGACATTTAGGTAACGTATTCTGACTTGCATTTGGTTTTAAGTTTAGTTTTTTTTTTTGTTTTCTTCATGCATTTGATTTCTGTTTGCGGTTTTGTGGATTTAGGTTAGGGGTAGGGTGCTAAGTTTGTTGTGATGGTGAGGGTTAGGGTTGATGTGGTGCCTTAGGCTTAGGGTTAGGGTTATGTTAGGGTTAGGGTTAGGGTTAGGGTTAGGGTTTATGTTGCTGTTTTGTTTGGGTTGTAGTGTTAGGGCAAGGAGTGGGTTTTTGTGTTTAGGGTTAGGGTTAGGGTTTCTGATTTCTGTTTTATTTTAGGATTAGGTTTTGTTTTTTATATTGAATTTTAAATTTTTTGATATTGTTATTGTTCATTGATTTTTGTTTCCACTTGCATTGTAGGTACAGTTGTTCCCATGGCTGGCCGTAGAAGATCGTCTAGCACTGGAAATGAGAGACGACAGAAGCTACGACAAGACCGTCCGTCTTCGTCAAGGCCACAAGAGGAAGACCCCGCTGCTGTCGACCTCCCATTCGGATACTTGTTCGAGAATGACCCGGTGGTTCATGAATCTTTTGTTCGTGACTTTGTTAACCGACCGATTTGTGGGGCCAAATCACTTGATACAGCCTTTTTTGAACAAGAAGGTTTTAACATTGTGAGGTGGTTGGAGGAATCACATCTTAGGACCTTGGCTGAACTGTCGTGCTCATATTCTGAGCTGCATGTACGGGCCTTCTACCATAACCTCAGCTACCATCAGGGTGAGCTGAGGTCTAGGGTCTGCGGGGTGGACATATACAGGGACGTGCAGAAGGGAAATGAAAGATTTAGACATATACAGGGACGGTTCAAGGGTGTTGAAGATAGGCTTGCTCGTCTAGAGCTTGGACGAGGACAGCAGATTGAGGATGTTGCAGGGCAGGGGGCTGATGTGTCAGATGAGGATGACGAGGAGACGGCGTCCGAGGAGGATTAGATTTAGGGTTTATGTTTCTATTTTACGTTTGTAGTGTATGTTGTTATGTAATTGACTTCGGTCTTCCTATTTGACATTTGTAGTTTATGTAATATTATGGTTATGAAATGAACTATTTGATGTTCCCATCATGTTGTGAACCGTTTACGTAATTATTGTTGTTTTCTTATTTACCAAATGAAGGAACAAATATCTTTTACCTTCTTGTTTTCAATTTGTGTCTAATCACAGTCCAACGGGTCTAAAATGTCCAATGAAATTCAGAACAAGTGACCTTAACAGAGTTAAAAGAAGAACACAAGTTTCGGATACCCTAATTTGGAGTATTTATGCAGTACATGTACATTCGTGGTTTATAACCTGTACAATACTATTTTGTACCTGAAAGTGTGTTCCCCAAGTCATTATATACGTGTACATTGATATTCGATCGGTTCCGTGCCAAAAAAATGCGTGCAAAACAGAATGGGGTGTCAAAACCAGTTATTTAGTCGAGCAACCTGTACTGGTTTAGTGGACTTGCACGTATTTTTTGGCACGGAACCGATCGAATATCAATGTACACGCATATAATGACTTGGGGAACACACTTTCAGGTACAAAATAGTATTGTACAGGATTCGTATGCGATTGGGTACGTATTACCCCAAACCGTTTGTTTACGCTCCCCGAAACTTGGTGATTTCATTTTTTGGTAATATTAGTATTAGTTATGAGTTTCAATCTATCAATATGGACCAATGTTAGATAATGGACTTAGAAATGAAATGTCAAATTACATAATGAGTTAGACAGTAACACAAAGTAACTTCAAAATTCATAACAGAATTACATGAACTCTTACAAAAGACCTTAAATACATGCACAACATTGGTTCAGCTAGGATTAATCCTCATAGGACATGTACGTTTATTGTGACCAATTTGCTTGCAGGTGCTACATCTAGTTTGACTGCTTGTGGGTTGGGACTCGACCCAATCCATTTCATTTTGTATCCTTGAAGACTTCGGTCTACCTTGTGCACGAACCAAAGATGCATTTGGGATAATAGTTGGACCATCTATTTCTGGGATCAACAACTCATTACCCATTGGAAACCAATGTGCAGCATAGACCTTCTCAATTTGTGTAATTGAGAACACAGGATCGACATAGTCATAGTGGTTCAATTTTTCAACCTTGCACACCGCTAGCACATGACTGCAAGGAAATCGTCTAGCTGTGAACCGTCCACATTGACATTTACGATTTAACAAGTCAACCCTCATAATGTCGCCGGCATCATGCGTAGATTGATTGTAGGCATCCTCAACTTCAAACAACTGCAAGTCTCTATCAAAAACACGGACACAGAGACTGACAGTTAACTGATCATTCTTTTGTAAGAAGCAATGGCAAACGCAATAGGCAGAATGAATCCATCACCATCCTGTGACGTAGCAATCAAGAGGGTATCTTTGTATTTCCCGTACAGGCGCGTGCCATCAATTTGGATTATGGTTTTACAATATTTGAAAGCCTCAATGCACTGGTGAAAAGTCCAAAATACCCTGCGAAAGACAGCCTTATCGGTGTAGACTCGCTGGTTCGTCACAACACTGATCCGCATCCGAATCTTGAACAGAACCAGGATTTTATCCTGTGTCACGTAGGTCAGCCAACCAGGTAAGATGGCATATGATTTTTCCCAGTCCCAAACAACTTCGACAATGGCCTTCATTTTAGCCTTCCAAGCCTTCCTATAAGAGTATGTTGTATCCATACAAACTTTGTACCCTCTCCTGAATAACTGGTTTTGTGGATGGATCTTCTTTTACATACCTATAAAAAATCCAGTCAACACAATCAATAAATATACCGAAATTAGCATATGTACTTAATTAAAAAAAACATAAACATTT